ATTCGGAGCTGATTTCCTTTAGGATTGGCTGGTTTGATTCTGCTGTCCAAGGGACTCTCAAGAGTCTTCTCCAGCACCACAGTTCAACTGCTATCTAAAGGCCTCTTTCTAACCCACCCTCTTTTCTCACTCCCTATGCCTCTACCTTAGTTTCGACCTGATTGTTTTAATCATTTTATGGAGCATTTTATGAGTCCCTTAAAACCCTTTAGGTACTCAAGGAGATTGCAATCCAGTTCCAACCTCCCTCGGAGATCTCATCTTAGACTATCACCCCCAAGCAACGCACCCTCCTGAACTCGCAGTGCACTCACCCTCCCCAGAATGCACCCTGCTGTTTTTCCACGTCTCTGCAAATACCATTCCCTTGGCCTCGAGGGGAACAGAGATCCAGTTCCTTCTGCTGTGGGGAGAGTGAGCGTGGCTTATGATCTATCATAGTGCCAATGGGGCCCAGGAGAGAAGAACATCATTCCCCCACTTACCCGCTTTGTACCAGCGAGTAAAGTAACGATCCACAAGCGACGGCACCGCGGGCTCGGCAGCCAAGGGGACCACAGGGTCCTCGGGCTCGGTAGTCATGGCGACATCCAAGGCTGCAAACCCCGCCCTCCGGGACTTGGACACTTCCTCCGGCGGGCCCAGGAGTAGGTCGTCTTTCCGGCTTGTGGCCCGAGACTCGCGGTGTGCGCAGGCGCGCAGCTCCTCCGCTTCCCGCAGGCTCCGCCTACCGACGCCAACCATTGAACTTTGGCATCTGACGTCAAAGCAGAAGTCAAATACAATAGGCTGGAAGACGTAGCGTAGGGGCCGGTGGCCAGCGCAGCTCCTCACCGTACTTCGCAGGGCACCGGAGAAAGCTGGCCACGCCCCCTCCTCCTCGTGACCTCACTCCCGCGCAGCTCGGCTGGGGTCGTGGTTGGTGTCGCTCGCTCGTCAGGGTCCCGCGGCTAGCCTCTCCGAGGCGCCGCTTCAGCCACTACCGGAGGGGGTCGAGCGGCACGGTGATCCAGTGCACGCCGCGCGAGCTCAAGAGCAGCGGACAGAGGCGAGTGCGCGACCCACGGTGGACGCACAGCTCTTTGGGGGGTCCTCGGAGTGTGGCGCAGGTGAGCGCTCAAGCGGCCTAGGTGGGGTGGGGGGCACAGAGACGGGCCCTGTCCTCCAGAGGGTGTCCCGATGAAGAGATTCCCCGAGCGCTTTGTCGCTGCCTGCTGCAGGCCCCAGAGTGAAGTGCGGGGGGACCACCTCTGCCCTCGAGCCTTGAGTTGTGTGTCTGCCGACTTACCACCTGCTGCACCCGCGGCCATCAGAGGGCTCCACGCGGCGTGGCAGGCGGGGAATACCTGCTGCTCCCCCAGCCGCACACTTTACTCAAGCTCTGATTCCTTGCAGGGGCGGACAATACAGCTGAGCCAGTTAATGCACCAATTAAAGCCTAACAATGCACTTGAGAGAGAGCTAGTCGGAGAAGTTCAGATGATGTGTTGTGAGCCCCTTTTGGCAACTGCGACTTTTTCTTGGAAATGTCGTCCCTGTGCTTCTCCATGTTATATGCTCTCCCAGGTGGCCCCTCTCCCCTGTTACCCTGTGACCTCTGTGGAGGCACTGACTGTAGTCATTTCTTGTCCAGAATTAGCACTTAGCAAATGCTCAGGCAGTGTTTGATGTAGCCGATGGTAGGGTTACATACTGTGTAAAGGATTCAAACCATTCATTGACAGGCAGGGCAGTAACCAGTGAATAGTTAGTTATGAAAGTGTGGGCAAAAGGAAAGCAAACACTGTTACAACTTGAAGGACAGAGAAAGTAGAAATGCCAGGTCCTCAGCGGGGAAACTAATTTGGTCAAGAATAGTAAGCCATTTAACAGGTTTGCATTTGAGAAATCCTAGCAGTAGGAGGTTGAAAATGTGAGTTTAGTGTTCAGTTTGGGGAAGGTCAGGACTAAACATTTAGATCTAGTAAGCATATTAATGATCTGTTTGGTACTTATGGTCATGGACATGATAGTTAGATAAGAGGTGAATGGATGAGGAGCAAAGGAAGAAAATAGAGGCATTGTCAGAATTGCAAAGAGGATCCAGGATTGATCTGTGGTGTGGTGAGATCTTTAGCACATTAGTGGGCTGAGAAAGGATGAATTGAGGGCAGGGAAGTTGGAGATTGCAGATGTAAAAAAAAGGGGGGACTGATAAGTCGAGGTCCTGGGAAGTTTGGAGGATTCTCCTTTCCTGGTCTTGAAAAGAAATAGGACACTTCTGAGAAGATAAAGGAATAAAGATAATGGGTGTGAAAATGTAGAGAAGTTCATTTTAAGGCTGGGAGGATTGGGGAGAAGGGGGATGAATGGTGAGCTGCCCTTGGCTGGTGATATTGATTGGCTCAGTGATTTGAGAACTCAGTTTGTATGCTATGTCTGTCAGTTAGGGTCTAGTCAGGAAAGCAGAAAACAGACTGTATTTCAACAGAATTTAATAGGAAGAAGTGGTTAAGTAGTTCTTGGGAGAACAAAAAGCAGAAAGGAGCAGTGAAATAACTAAAAAGTAAACTGATGGAAGAAGTTACAACACTTAGCTCGATCTGAGGATCAGAACAAGGGAAGCCATTGGGGTTATCATGACTTAACCTTAAAGGAGGGACATTGTAAAGCTGGTGTAGATAACTCCGGAATTCAGAGGAGGAGCTCCATGTTGGTAGATGTCAGCACCTGGAGGGGCACCTGTCTGCTTAGTGCTGGTACCTCTGGGGTGGTTGTCACCAGGCTGGTCCTGGGAGTGCTGGAGACTGGGACCAGGGGCCCCTGGAAGGAGGAAGGTCCATTGCTGGGGCAACATTGACTGGAACAGCAAGGTTACAGGAAAAAGGGAGTCCTCAGTTCCTTGTGCCTTTACCTTCCAAATTATTATGCTGGGGTCTAGAGGTTATTGATGAATAGAATGCAAGTTTACAGAAAGACATTTTGATGATCTTATCATGGCAACAATAAAAGCATAATTATTAGCTAAACCAGCTTGCTTTGCCAACAAAGGTCCGTCTGTCAGGGCTATGGTTTTCCCAGTGGTCATGTACGGATGTGAGAGTTGGACTGTGAAGAAAGCTGAGCGCCGAAAAATTGATGCTTTTGAACTGTGGTGTTGGAGAGGACTCTTGAGAGACCCTTGAACTGCAAGGAGATTCAACCAGTCCATCCTAAAGGAGATCAGTCCTGGGTGTTCATTGGATGGACTGATGCTGAAGCTGAAACTCCAATACTTTGGCCACCTCATGTGAAGAGTTGGCTTATTGGAAAAGACCCTGATGCTGGGAGGGATTGGGGGCAGGAGGAGAAGGGGACGACAGAGGATGAGATGGCTGGATGGCATCACCGACTCGATGGGCATGAGTTTGAGTAAACTCCGGGAGTTGGTGATGGACAGGGAGGCCTGGCGTGCTGCGATTCATGGGGTCGCAAAGAGTCGGACACGACTGAGCGACTGAACTGAACTGAAACCAGCTTGAAATACATCTCATCCTCTGTCGCCTGTTTTCATCTCTTGCTGTTCCTTGTTTACCCCCCTCTCGCCCAGACATTCTCTCATCTCAGATCTTCCTTTCAAACTATGTCAGTGGTCATCTTTGTGGTGTCTTTAGATGAAAGATAATGTAATTTCTATATGCTTTAAAAAAAACCCAAGCTTTCTATACAGGATTAGATCTAAATTAAAAGTCTGCATGGTACAATACAGGTTCAAATAATTCCCAGAATTTCTTAAATATGTCATGAAAGCTTACAAAACCATTGTCTGCCTTGATTCTGTTCCTCACTTCTACCATGTGGTCTTGCCTTCCTCTGAACTCACATTTTATGTTGCCTTATTCAAACTGCGCTTAATCTGCTATGTAGTATAAGAAATGTCTTGTGTTTATTCTTTCGTTGTCATATGTACAAAATGCAAGATGAGAGAATTCACCTTGGATTAAGGTGACAGTTATGCCAGTGTAGTCTGTGTAATTGTCACTCCTAACGTAAGTTATGGAGAAGGAAATGGCAACCCACTCCAGTGTTCTTGCCTGGAGAATCCCAGGGACGGGGGAGCCTGGTGGGCTGCCATCTGTAGGGTCGCACAGAGTCGGACACGACTGAAGTGACTTAGCAGCAGCAACGTAAGTTAGGGAATTCTACTTATAAACCTTAAAGGGGTCTGGATATAAATATCTAGCATATAAGCTGCTTTTTTCCCTCTTAGATAATGTTATGCATTAAAGCAAGTCTGATTTTGCCAAACCAAAGTATATTTCCTTTGATCATTCGTTTCTCAGCTTTTCTATTGCCCTGGTGAAAACCAGACCAGAAAAGTGGAGTTATGTGAAGTAGTGATATTAGGTTATCAAACTCCTCCAATTGTTGATCATTGTTTTGAAGGATCCTATTGTAATTTCGTAGTGTTTTTTCTGTCTGAGAGCAGTAAATGCTTTTCTTTATTTCAGTTTGATTTTAATTTTAACTTTTTAATTGAGATATAAAGCCAGTTTATAAATGTAGTTGGTGATATTAAAGTAATTGTATTTTCTTCACCTGCCAGTATGTATACATGTAGATTTTTATACAATTTTGTAAATCTGTCAAGTTACAAAGATATCCTCATGTGCAGAAGTAACATGTTTTCTCATTCATTGTGTTCTTAGCTTCCTCACAAAATAACTGATGTTAAATCTTTTTTGAAGAAAAAACTCTAATAGTTGAGAATCTTGCCTCTTCCAAGAGTGAGAATGTAAAATAGATTTTACAGCCTCACTTTGTAAACCCTAGATTTAAACAATTGGTTGGGTTGCTATCACTTACTCTCTGTGGGTTCAGATTAAATCTTTTTTTTTTTCTGGTTATTCTGACTTCTCTGCTCCCTGAATCATTTTGCTTGTACTGGAGTGTCATTTGTCGTTAAAAAGCTGTTTCTATTTTTCAGATAAATTAAAGCTTCATTACGGGTATTTATACTATTTTTTAGGCATTGCTTCATCATGAGAAATCTAAAGTTACTTCGGAGCCTGGAGTTCAGGGATATTCAGGTTCAAGGGAAACCACAGTGCCTCTCTCTCCGAACCGAGCAGGGGACAGTGCTCATCGGCTCAGAATATGGACTGGTAGAGGTAGACCCTGTCACGGGAGAGGTAAGTTATTGATGGAAGATATTTGGGTGGATTCTGATATCTCCCCTTAATTATATTTTGCTACTAATGTATTTTAGGTGATGATATTCTTAGTCCCTTTTCCCCAGACTCTGTAGAGTTTAGAAAATTGTACTTTTTAGCTTCATGTTTTATTGGATATCTCCAAAGAGACCAGGTTTTTGTTTTTAAGTTTGCTTGGCAAAAGAAGCATATTAACTGTTTTCTTTGTTAAAGATGGTAGTGTTGTGATATTTCTCAAGTGAAAGATTGGATTTTTATCTAGGAAAAATTTTTGAAAGCTTTTGTATTATAAAAGAAACATTTAAAAAATGTTTTACTTCTAGAAATGTTATGAATTGTTCTTGAGAGTAGATTGACTTAATTTGCTTGTTTGTCTTGGTGAAAGGTGAAAAATGAAATTCCTTTGGTGGCAGAAGGCTTTCTCCCAGAGGATGGAAGTGGCTGCATCGTTGGTATTCAGGACTTGCTGGATCAGGAGTCTGTGTGTGTGGCCACAGCCTCTGGAGATGTCCTGCTTTGTAATCTCACCACACACCAGGTAAGCGAGGGAGACCAGGGAGGAGGAAATCTCAAGTATCCTCAAACGTCTTTTTTTGTATCATGTCAATAGTTTTTCATAGATGTTTAAAATACCAGGAGCCATAATATTTAGGCATTTTGCAAATTATAGTCTTTACATTTTACAGTTCTTTACAGAAAATTGTTGGCATGGTTTTAGCTGTGTTTCAGTATTCTTCTTAAACTCAGTTTTGTCTGCTGCGTTTATTAATTAGAACAATGAGAGCATTCCAGATAAGAACAAAACCTCAAACCTGGCCATTCTTGTGTGGTATGGCTCACCTCTTGCTAGAATCCGATCCTGAGTTGTAACCCTTATTTTTCAGCTTAGGAAGTCTTTGGGATGTTTAGATGGCTCATATCTTCTCTTAAGAATGCTGAGTAGGCCTCTTTTTGATGACTGACTGTAGAGTCCCTGAACTACAGATTCTAAGGTGATACAGTTTCATTTTGTGCGCATTTTATGAGCATCGGAGGAGATAGATTTCAACGACTTGCCTCCTCCTCTCCTCTAGCATAAGGCTGAGTTTCTGAATTTCTTTACTCACCTTGATAGGTTTTTAAACTTCATTGGTAACTCCCTGAGCTGTGATCTCTTTAACACTGATGTGTCACGAGAGTTATATTACTAATCATGGGATAATAATGATAACAGCTGACATTTATTAAATATTTATAGCGTGCCAGGCACTTTTTTTTTTCCTGCCAGGCACTTTTTAAAGTATTTTTCATGCAAAATTACATGAATTTTGTAATTTTTCACTATAACCTTGTGAAGTAGATTGTTGTTTTCTCATTCTTCAGAAAAGGAAATTGAGGCTAGGCCAAGGTCAGACAGTTTTCAGGTGAGATTTGAACCCTGGCAGTGTAAATCTGGTACCTTTGCTTTTAATGGTTCCATTTAGTACAATGATAAATCTTCCTCTCAGTTCCTGGTGAGAAACATCAAAGCCATCAAGTATAAATTGGTATTTCTTACATTTAAAAGGTATGCTTTTACTTGTAAAACATTTTGTAGGATTTTTTCCTAATTACTGAGCTCTTGTAATCCACTGGTCTCCATCAGATGGTGCTGATCCTCCCTATTTATGGCATCAGTGTCTGCAAGACAGAATCCATGTATTCCTTCTTGTGCCTTATCAGACGTTCACTATCTATTTGCCAAATTCCTTTTTAGCCTCACCTCCCACCCCCATTGTTCCTGTGTATGTGTATACTGTATGCTTTAGTGGCAGCTGATTTTTAACTGCTCTTTTTTATAATTCTGTGCCTTAACACCACATTTTTTCCCCCAGTCTCTCCTTCCTAGCCCTGTTTCTGTCCTTTAAAGCACCTCCTCAGAGAGGCTTTCCTGAACTCACCTGGGCCATTTGTCATTCTTTGCTCTAATTCCCCACTTAATTCCTGGAGACCTCAGTTACAGCCCTCACCCCGCTGTAGAGGCATCTTTTAGCTCCTTAATGGGAGGAATGGAGTGGCCGTCATCACATCTAGTCCCCATGGTCTGTGTCACGCCTGATCTCTTAATACCTGTTACTGAAAAGATGTTTACTGCTTAATTTCACCTTGGGGTGTTTTGTTGTGAATTAGTTTGATTACGGTCATAACAAACATTTATCAAGGTGCTTATATTTTCATATTTCTCTTAACATTTCAAAACGCCTCTTTCAGCTGGAATGTGTCGGGAGTGTAGCAAGTGGCACCTCTGCCATGAGTTGGAGCCCCGACCAAGAGCTGCTGCTGCTGGCCACAGGTAAGCATGTCAGCGGCCCCTAGCGCGCGGCTTTCTAAGACATGGCTTCTAGCAGCTCAAAGACTTAAGGTTTAGGGTGCGTAGGTTTCAAAAACAATGTTTCTTGAAACAATCGAGTTAAGTTTTACTTGTGAACACGCTGTTTTAAAAAGTTACTGCGAAGTCTGTAGTTATAGTTGAAAATGTCAGCAGTGTTTATTTTAATATCCTCTTAAGAGGAAGAGTTGCTGTATAAAATAAACTGATTCTGAAAACTGCTCTTCCAGTCCTTTTTTTGTCCTATAATTCTTTTCGTTCTGGCTGAGATTCTGTAAACTAGCATCCTGATAAGCTATACACTCGAAGAGGTATCTTGGTGACTAAACAGTTGCAGTTAGTGGAGGGGGAAGGGCTCTGTGCATTTTTATGTCAGTTTGACATACATAAATAGCTGAGAATAAGCACCAGGTGACTTACCCAGTCAAAACTTGTTTTTGTGTGTAATGAGAGTCAGAACATTTTGAATGAATTCTGTCTTCCCTATTTTGCTTACAAACTCTGCCACTTCAGCTCTGTATCTTGCAGTGCTGTAGATACTTACGGAACGGCAGGTTTGTTAAATGAGAACAAAATCATTCTTGTTTGTGCTCCTTCAAGGTCAGCAGACCCTAATTATGATGACAAAAGACTTCGAACCAATCATGGAACAGCAGATCCACCAGGATGATTTTGGTGAAAGTAAGTATAACTTTGTTTGAAACATTTTGTGACTTTTCTTGCCACTGATAGTCATAAGCCCAAAGAGCTATGAAGCTTAAACCCTGACTTAATTAAGTGTCTGATAGCCCAGTTCCTTTAGTTCATTGCAGCTCTTAAAAGGCATTCCTCCGGTGGCTCTTCAGGTCTGAGAGTTGGCTTTGTCAGTAACCTGGGAAATAAGAATCTGTGCTTATAGGTTGGGTTGTTATTGCCCAGACCCAGAATAGGCTTAGTCATGGGGTTTGATGAAAGGACTGTACTAGCTGGAATAAGGAGAACATTTCTGATACACGGTTTGGGGGAAAATACAAGAGAGGTGGGTAGAGAGCTGACTTCTGTTCCTATTGATTAGACCTGAGTTGTCATGGGAACCATCAGATTGTTTTCTTGCTCACATCTAGCTGAGGTGATACGGGCACTAGGCCATGGAAGTATTGAAGAGAAGAGTGGAGATGCTTCTTGAGTCTAAGCAGCTCTGACCAACTTGCGGGTACCAGGTAGCTGGCTTGATTGAGGAGGGGAATGGGGGCGATGGTATTTTAACTTTTGCTGAATTCTCACTTCATGTCGTCTTGTTCAGCCAACTTAGAAATCATTTAGAAAATTGCTGCTCATTTTTTCATTCAAAAATAATTTGTTCAGAAATAATGTTTGAATCACAGCAGGATCCTCTATGACCCACATCCCAGAATTTTAGAAACAAAAGCAAAAATAAACAAATGGGACCTAATGAAACTTTTGCACAATAAAGGAAACTATAAGCAAGGTGAAAAGACAGCCCTCAGATTGGGAGAAAATAATAGCAAATGAAGCAACAGACAAAGGATTAATCTCAAAAATATACAAGCAACTCCTCCAGCTCAACTCCAGAAAAATAAATGACCCAATCAGAAAATGGGCCAAAGAACTAAACAGACATTTCTCCAAGGAAGACATACAGATGGCAAACAAACACATGAAAAGATGCTCAACATCACTCATTATCAGAGAAATGCAAATCAAAACCACAATGAGGTACCATTACATGCCAGTCAGGATGGCTGCTATCCAAAAGTCTACAAGCAATAAATGCTGGAGAGGGTGTGGAGAAAAGGGAACCCTCTTACACTGTTGGTGGGAATGCAAATTAGTACAGCCACTATGGAAAACAGTGTGGAGATTTCTTAAAAAACTGGAAATAGAACTGCCATATGACCCAGCAATCCCACTTCTGGGCATACACACTGAGGAAACCAGATCTGAAAGAGACACGTGCACCCCAATGTTCATCGCAGCACTGTTTATAATAGCCAGGACATGGAAGCAACCTAGATGCCCATCAGCAGACGAATGGATGAGGAAGCTGTGGTACATATACACCATGGAATATTACTCAGCCATTAAAAAGAATTCATTTGAATCAGTTCTAATGAGATGGATGAAACTGGAGCCCATTATACAGAGCGAAGTAAGCCAGAAAGATAAAGACCATTACAGTATACTAACACATATATATGGAATTTAGAAAATGGTAACGATAACCCTATATACAAAACAGAAAAAGAGACTCAGATGTATAGAACAGACTTTTGGACTCTGTGGGAGAAGGCGAGGGTGGGATGTTTCAAGAGAACAGCATCAAAACATGTATATTATCTAGGGTGAAACAGATCACCAGCCCAGGTTGGATGCATGAGTCAAGTGCTCGGGCCTGGTGCACTGGGAAGACCCAGAGGGATCGGGTGGAGAGGGAGGTGGGAGGGGGGACTGGGATGGGGAATACATGTAAATCCATGGCTAATTCATGTCAATGTATGACAAAAACCACTGCAACGTTGTAAAGTAATTAGCCTCCAACTAATAAATGAAAAAAAAAATAATGTTTGAGTAGGTACTGTGGCTAAAACTGCTTTTCCCTTAAGGGATCCCGTTGGTTCAATAATAATAGAACATTGCAAGTATTAGGGTGGCAAAAGGAGAGAAAAGGAGACATGGGGAGGGAAGACTTCCCAGAGGAGGCCAACTTGAGCTGAGCTCTGGCTTATCTGGTGTTGGGTAGATGCGGGTTGAGGATGGGGGAGCGGTCCAAGTAACTGAATCAGTTCTTTCCAAGGCAGGATGTTTCATGGAAGCCTTTGACAGGTCTTGGCTGGTTCAGGCAACTGTGAGTACTTCAGCATTGCCTAGTGAGAGGATATGGATGTGGAATGAAATAAAAGGGAGAGATTTTGATTAAGTTTGATAGAGAATTTAGACAGTGAATTATAGGAGATAAGTCATGAAAGGTTTTGATGATGCACAATTGATTGTTGGAAAAAGAAGAGACTGGAGACAGGGTGACCTGGTAGGAAGCTGCTACAGGAACCCAGGTGAGAGATGAAGGTGGGTGTGGGACTAGAAAAGGGGAAAAATGCAGAAAAGTTTTGATTCTCAGTGAAGATAGGAATACATTTTTTGGAATTATAAGAAACATTTTAGGAATATACATGCCTGGTTCCTCTTTTACCCTAGCTAGTTTGAGAAATACCAGTTTAGAGAATGAAATAAATAGGCTTTTGGTGTGTAAGGTGAAGGAGAAAGTTTAGTTGGACTGTCGCCAGAAACTCAGGTTGTGAAAATAAAGATGCCAGTATCTGAGAGGAAAGGTGGGGAAATGTGGTCTGTAAGAGGTGGGTGGTGAATTCTGTTTTGAATTTGTTGAAGGGTCATATGGGATCACCACATGAAGCAGGTAAATTAGAAGGAGCTGATGCTCAGCAGAAGCCGGAGCTGTGGGCTGGGAGTCATTGACAGAAGCTCCAGTTTTGCTAGCTCAGGGAGCAGGTATGGAGCTGGATCTAGGGTCCAGGGGGGGACTCTGGGGCATCCAGCTTTGAGGACAGTCATAGAGGTTGTCATAGAGGTAAGAAGCACACAGCTTTGCATGGGAAAGTGCTCTCTAGTTCATCCTGCCAACTTTTTCATAAGTCTGATAGAGTATATCAAAGGAGGAGGAGTCCAAGTCAGGGTCCTGGGTCTTAAAAATGTATTTGTCAGTACAAAAAGTCACTCTGTGAAGTGGTGAATAGATGTGTTTCTTCTAACCCAGGTGTCAAACTTGTTCTGTAAAGAGCTGGATAGTAATGTTTTCCAGCTTTACAGGCCGTATGGTCTCTTGCAGCTGTCCAACTCCGCTGACATAGTAGGAAAGCACCCAGAGATAATACATAAAGAAATGGGTTTGGCTGTGCTCCGGTACAAGTTTATTTGTAATGATGCTGTAATGATTTGTAATGAGGCTATAGTTTGCTGATTTCTGTGGTAGTCCCATCACTTATCTGATCTCCCACTGGGAAAGGCTTTCTGCTTCCCTCCAGACCCTTTACCTCTCTGGAAACTTTTGCATAGAAACCCAGGGGCATGCACCAGCTAGGCACTACTGTTTGAATACAACAGTAGGGCATGCTCTGCGGTGTGATCTATACAATACTTGGATGTGCCCAAGCAGAGCAGACTGGAAACAGTCGTGCCAACCCATAATTCATAGAAATTACAGCAGCCCTGCTTCGGCAGAGTCAGCATCAGTTGTAGGGAGGAAGTATTTGGGTCCTGAATCTGATGGATGCTCTCAAGAACATCTCTGTCATAGCTGTCCATCTGGAGGATGCCGGATCCTACTTCCAGGAACAGAAGAGCTGCATCATTTCAGCAACTCTGACTTTATGTTTTAGGTAGTAAGCTCAGCATTATGATTTAAAAAGAAGCCCAACTTGGAAGGCAGAAGCCCTGTGATCTAAGGCCTCTGTCCCTGAGGGGGGTCTCAGTCTCTGTCTCTGTGAGGAGTTGAATTCCATAATCTGTGATCTCCCTCACTAGCAAGGAGGCTGGATACATTTAGCAAATAGAACATTTAAAATTGGAATTTTATTCCCGGCTCTTAGTTCTTATGTTTTTGTTATCCATGGACATATCACATAGATTTTTCACGTTTCGTTCTTCTTTCTTGTCAAGTGAGGTAGATTGCTGACTGTCATCAAGGGAATTTATATATGATGGCAGTAATGTTCCAAAATAAGAGTTATTTCAGAGTCTTCAAAATCACTGAGCATATAATGTGCAACATAGGTTTTTAACATCTTGACTGCTGGTCAATTTATTGAGAGGTCTCAGAGGACCCAACTTCTTGAATCGGCTTTTATTTTATTTAGCTTATTGATTGTCTTGCATGTTCTCACTCAATTGTTCTCTAGGCAAGTTCATCACTGTTGGTTGGGGCAGAAAGGAGACACAGTTCCATGGATCTGAAGGCAGGCAAGCAGCTTTTCAGATGCAAATGGTAAGGTTGGTCTGATGGATAAAGAACTTTGTTTGGAACAAATAGAAGTTCTGCTTCCCACCAGGAACTCTTGAGTGTCCAGATGTTACAGAAAGGGATCCAACTGCTTGCTGCTCTAAAGCCAATCAAGAGGCAGAGTTGGTGGAAAGGAAAGTTTGCTTTATTCAGGATGCTGACAACTGAGAGGGGAAGGGAGTGCACTCCTCTCCAAAGGCTGGCATTCCCTGCCCCCCAGCCCCACCCGAGTATCCACTGGGCAAGAGTTTTTATAGGCTGAGTGACAGGACTACATGCAGAAACAGTAAAGTCATCTCTGGCAGTCACCTTGAAATTGGTCATGCAGTGGTCTGATCCATGTCATCTTGATTATTTTAAGTACAGTTAATCTTTAGTTCTAGGGTCAGTTTGTTCCCGTTTCTTTGAGGCCAGTTCTCAGAATTGCGGCAACTTATGTCATGGCTACAGTCCGGTCATCATGTAGTTAACTTCTTTCACCCAGTGGGGGTTTTAGAGTCTCTAAGATAGCTCACAGGATATGGCTCAGAAAATTAGCTATGTCCGTTGAGGAATTAAAGGTCCTTGACTATGCTTAATGACTAAACTACTATTATTTAATCTTGTTTGGCTGTTTTCCTTTGTTTCTTCGTTTTTCTCACCTCTCTGATTGAATTTATTGTTTAGCTGAAGTTTTTCCATGGACAGAAGGCAAGCTGAGGCCATGGTGGCGGGGGTGGGGTGGGGGGCAAGGACCACCAAGGGTCCTGCTCTGTTTCACAGGTAGAGGGTGGTCATGGACATAAGCTGCTTAGAGACATTAGCGAATGAGAAAGATCCTCTTGTTCTTTCATATTGCTAAGTTTGTTTGTCATTTTTTTTCACAGAATAATTACAACCAATATTAAAAAAAAAATTCATTGCAGACAGAAATGAAACACTCTGTATCCCTTCCTGACACTCTTCTGCTTCCTCCCTAGAAGGAGCTGCTCTCCTGTATTCATTGTTGAGAATTCATTTGTATGTTTTTATACTTTTCCTATATACGTTTATATTAGGTTTTTTTTCTTTTCCTGATTTCTCTTCTTGAATGAAATTCTCATGTTTTCCTTCTTTCTGGATACATTTTGAAGATGGAGCCTACAGGATTTATTGATAATAGATCAGATGTGGGGTGAGAGAGAGATGAATTGAGGATCATCCCAGGATATGGGCCTTTTGTAGAATGGAATAAAATGGAAGCATTTTTGTCTGTACTACATGGGAGATTTGCGTGAGCTGACCTTCTAGAATAGATGAAAATCATACACTGCCTGCCATTTGCATTTCCCATCCATAATTTATTTCATGTAACTCATACTTTGTCTCAGCCCTTCACTGGAGGAAGTTTGCATTCTATACTGCAGGGCAGTGTCATTGAGAATAAATCTTATTAGGCTGCTATGTATTCCCTGCTGTGCCGATTGTAGCATTAGCGCCATTCTGACTTAGCTGTCACTGGAAGGTGATGAAGGCTGCCTATGTGGTCACTGGTCCCCAGCCCAACAGAATTGGCTTCTGTCTTCAAGGCTAGGACTAAGATGCAGGTGGCACTTGAAACCTTTCTTCCTTCTGTGCTGCGGAACAAGACCCTTATCCATGTTTTCATCATGGCTGCTGGCTTACCTCCTCTATCTGTTCCTTGCCCACCTTCCTCTCATCTTCTTCATTCTTCTGTGCACTGTTGCAAAGCTTACACAGTAAATAACATGGTACTCTCTCAAATTTAGACAAACATTTATTTCCGTATATAGTTACCTGATAGATTCCTTTGTTTAATATTTTTAATATCTAGATCTACAGCTCTTTCTCTCTTGCTGTGCTTAGAGGCCACTTTCTAATGCCCAGAGAAGGATTTTGTCTTGTTTTAGGTTGAGGATTTCTGGGTCTAAGGGCCCATCCAGAAGGGTTCCTGAGGGTTCTGTGAATCTCATTTTCTAAGTAGCTTAAACCTTACATAAAAGATTTAACTTTAATAGCCTGAGACTGGTTAGATTCTAGATCATTTAAGGCCCCCAGTAACATCTGTGTTTTTCCCTCTCTTTAGCACGAGTCTGCTTTGCCCTGGGATGACCATAGACCACAAGTTACCTGGCGTGGCGATGGGCAGTTTTTTGCTGTGAGTGTTGTTTGTCCAGAAACAGGTATGGAAATAAGTTGCAGTTAAATAAAACTTAAAAAAAATCTTACTTAGTTCAGGGAGTTTTTCTTTGTTTTGTTCCACGGGTTTACTTTCATTGCACATGACCTAACAATGTGCTGCTTTAGGTGCTAAATGCATAAAGAACTAAGCATTAGAAGAGTTCTTTGAGGCTGTTTTTCCAGCCTCCTACATATTAGATACAACATTTTAGCAAGAGTAATCTAGTTGGCTTTGTAAAACCATGACAGTTTTTATTAACAAGGAAGACGTCTGGAAGTTCTGACTTGGCAGCATTTATCACAGTGCTCCGAGTTTTGTCATCGTCATTTCTTCCCCCTCTTTCTACTGCACAGGGGCTCGAAAGGTCAGAGTGTGGAGCCGGGAGTTCGCTTTACAGTCAACCAGTGAGCCCGTGGCCGGACTGGGACCTGCTCTGGCTTGGAAGTGAGTGGGAGAGGGAGTCTTGTAACTTCCTCCCCAGAGAGAACGAGGGTAGGGGTGGTGGTACCTATTGAATGTAGGTATTTTTAAATCACAGGAGGATAATCACTTGTTCTCATTTGACTATAAGCCTGTATCTTTCTTAGTTTTCTGAAGTCTGAATGTGGTTTGAGTAGTAGATTCTGAGCTTCGCTGACCTCATCATTACAAAGCCCGCACGTTTTGTTGCTGTAGGCAGGGCCTGCAGGAATCCACTGTGTAAAACAGAAAGAGGTGCTCAGAAGGGAAGTCGCAGTTTGCAAGGTTTGGTGGGGCAGTGGTGCTTTGGGGAAGACTAGGAAAGGGACTTCCATTCTCTGCACAAGCTCCCACACGAAGGGGACCTGTTCGCTGAGGAATGGGCAGGCTGCATTTGGGCCCAATTCACCTGTTGACCCAGTACCCTTTTGCAGGTCACACCTTCTTGTCATATGTGGCTGTCCTGATTATAGTTAGAAGAAATAGCTTCTGTCTCAGAAGCATCTGTTATAGGCAAAACCTAGGTCTCTAGGTTTTAAACATCTGTTTCCCACTGTTGTTTGAGTGGCAGTTGGATGATAGTGCAAAGAGAGAGATGTATTTAAATTAAAATTCTAGAGACAGATAAAAACAGGATGCAGCGATCAAGCTTTTTTCAGTAGATTGAGAAGTCTTAAAGACTGCTTAGCTGAGCATTACTGAATACATGGAATATTACTGAAGACACATAATTGAAGGAGAAGTAGGTTGTGGCATTATTGGACATTACACTGGGAATGGTTTAAATAGTTTATTGGTATTTTTCGAAAAGTCAGCCAAGTGCAGTCTAAATCTGATGCTTTGTGGGCAAATAGAATCTTTGTGTGGACAAATCAGGAAAAGGCACTGCCTCCTCTGGGTAGATTGAGTCCCACACTAGGGTGACTGCTTGCCAGGAAATACAGAATTTAAAACTTCCTTGGGTGGAGGCTTCTTGTTTTTGTAGAAAAAAATTGTTTCTTTGAATTTCATCTTGTTCTTCACCAGCTGGGTGAACTTTTGGATGTTCTGACACTCTGGGCTTTTGCTTTTAGGCCTTCAGGCAGTTTGATTGCATCTACGCAAGATAAACCCAATCAGCAGGATGTTGTGTTTTTTGAGAAAAATGGACTTATCCATGGACAGTTTACACTTCCTTTCTTCAAAGATGAGGTTAAGGTAGGTGCCTTAGTTCTTTCACCATCAAATTTAGAGGACTGTCCACAGTTGTAGAGAAAGTTTGTGTCTGATATGGGTGTGTAAACAGAAGCCCCAGAATACTTAGTAACAAAAGCAATGGCTTCCTATGACTGAATTTTTTTTTTTTTTGCAAAACAGAAGTTGTTTTTCTTAAGGAGGTTTTGCAGAGGGAAAAAATGGCATTCTTTCCTCACACTAGATAAAACACAGAAAAGAAATAGAAATGCTAGTTTTTATTGTTTATTTTGACAAAAGTGTAATTCTTCCAGTGATAAAGATACTTGTCACTTATAACATTTAATCTTTAAGAAGGTTGTGTACCATTTGGATCTTTGTGGGATCAGAAACAAATCATGATTATTTTAAATTATGTAAAAAAAAATTAAATATAAAAATTGAGAGAAGAGTTTAATGAACTCCTATGTGCCTATTACTTACTTTCATCAGATATATACCAGCATTTTTCAAAATTATTGTCATCTATTATTTACTCTCTGGCCTACATACACACACACACAGACACACACTTTGTAGAAATTTCCTAGGATTTTAATTCTAGAAATCTTATTTTCAATATTCTTTTCTCTAACAGTTAAGAACATTTTTCATTATGTAACCACAATTCCATTATCACACCTTGCAAAATTAGTAATAATTTATTACTATTATCTAATACCTAGTTTGTAATCAAAGTTCCCTGATTGTCTAAAAATATCACCTTGCATTTGATTAAGTACTTAAACATAATACATTTTTTTAAAATGTCCTCCACATGTGATGACAGATTTGCTTAATAACTCCATAGGTTAATAATTTACAGCTAGGGGTCGACTCAACTGTGGAATTATTTGACTTGTGAGAGTAGGAAATGTAGCTTTTGTAAAGATTTTGAGATAAATATATAGTTAAAGGCCAATGACAGGTCTTTTTTCCCTATTAGGTTAATGGCCTTTTCTGGAATGCAGATTCCACTGTGCTTGCAGTTTGGTTGGAAGAACTTCAGAGGGAAGAAAATTCATCTCTGAAAACCTACGGTAAGACAGCACCGATATCTCGGCTTCTGCCCCATAGAGTGAAGTTGAAAGTAGTAGGCTGTAGAGTTTCCTTTGTCCCTTCTACTTAGTCCTGAAATGGATCAAAGACACCTGAGCAGGCAGGTGGAGATGAAGGAGTGGTTATGGACTTTCCATGGGATAATTTCATGTGATGAGCTTTTCATGGGATGATTTCAGTTATGTATCAGGCAGGATTCCCTAGAGAAATAGAATCAGGGTAGGCTGGCTGGTTGGAAAATTAGTGAAGAGTTGATGTTGCAGTCTTGAGTCCAGAATCTGAGGTAAGACAGGCCCACAACCTGGAAACTTAGACAGGATTCTGTGTTACAGTCTTGGGGCAAAATTCCTTTTTCTCTGGGAAGCCTCAGGTTTTGTCCTTAAGATCATAAACTCTTTGGATGAGATCTGTCCACATTATGGAGGCTATTCTGCTGTACTTAAAGTCAGCTGATTTGAAAGTTTAATCACATCTGCAGAATACCTTCCCAGCAACATCTAGACTAGTGTTCCAGCAAACAACTAGACACCATAGCCTAGCCAAGTTGACGTATCAAATAACCAAGTCATTATTGCTTTTTCTTCATGGATGATATTACTGTAGCAAATCAGAATGTTAGCCAAAGGAATACTGTGGAAGTGAAAGAGAAATGAGGTTAGATATAAGAAAGAATATTTTATAGATTTTAAATGGTAAATCAAATTGTAAATATTATTTTCAGTATATATGTAAAATGTAAAAACATTAGAAAATAAAAATGGGAAGAAAAAAATTCTTCCATAATTCTATCACTCAATAATAGTCATTATTAAAATTTTCTTGTCTTCCTAGGTTTTATGTATATGTCTCAGTATAGCTATGATCTCATTTTTGTTAAATATGTAAGTATGATACCTATAGGTTTATAGCTTGCTTTTACAATGTATCTCAAACTATTTCCATTTCAGATATGTGTATCATTTTAAATTGCTATATATTGCTTTATGCTACTGTTTATTAAACCCTATTTTGTTAGACATTTAAAGTTTTGTAATTTTTCACTGTCATCAATAGCAGTATGCTAAGCATTTTTTTCCATAAATCTTTTCATTTATTTTCTGACTGGCTTTCAAAGCGTTTAATCACTAGAACTTTAGCAGAAATGTTATTTGGAAGTTCGTTCATTCATTCATTCATCACAGTAGTTCTCGACCCTGGCTGGACCTTTAGGAAAAAGGTTGCTATCCAGGCCTCATCTCAGAGTTGCTTTCAATGTGTTACAGTGGAGACGACATGTCGATATTTAATTTTATTAAAAAGAGCTCCCAGGTGATTTTTTTTTAAGGTGCAGCCAGGGTTGAGAACCACTGATTCACCAGGTGTTAATGGCTGGCCCTGTGATACGCTCACAGGGCAAGTGTTAGTGCAGGAAGAGCCACAACACCTGTCTAACAGAACATGAGTGTGTGATCTAACGTAACCCAGAGCTCAGTGGGAGTATTTGTAATAACCTGGTTCAGGAACTAGGTTGGATTTGCTGTGATTGCTGAGTGAAGAGCTAGTGATCAGGGAGATGCTTAAAGAAAAGAAATTCCTTAATACAATTAAAATATTCATTTATGTATGGTGGTGGTGGTGGTTTAGTCACTGTCATGTCCAATTCTTGTGACCCCATGGACTGTAGCCTGCCAGGCTCCTCTGTCCATGGGATTCTCCAAGCAAGAATACTGGAGTGGGTTGCCATTTCCTTCTCCAGGGGATCTTCCTGACTGCGGAATCGAACCCAGGTCTCCTGTATTGCAGGCAGATTCTTTACCGACTGAGCTATCATTTATGGCAGCTATCATCTGTTTAATAAAAAGTTGGCTGTGACGTGATTAAGTCTTTTTTTCCCCCCAGCTTTATTGAGATCTAATTGACATGTAACTAGTACATTCAGGAGGTATGATGTAATGATTTGATACATGCATATACACTGAAGTGTTTACCACAATAGGTTGATTAACTCAATCTTCACTTAATAGAATTATCATTTTTTGTTGTTGTTATGGTGAGGCCATCTGAAGTCTACTGTCATAGCAACTTTCAAGTATATAATACAGTGGTATTAACTGTAGTCACCACACTACATTAGATCCCTGGGACTTGGAACTGAAGGTTTATGCTCTTTGACCAGCTTCTTCCTGCTTCCTGCACCCTGCAGGTTTAGGCCTTGTTCTTTTAAGAGATGTTGCAAAGGGTAATTGCATATAATCTCCCGTGGATTTAACTGTATGCAAAACAGCTAGAAGAAACTAATAAACATCTTAAGCATAATGCAATGTAATGATGCTAGTCTAGTGCTCTTGGGTTGGGCATTTTAATCTAATGGCCAAATTTTCTTTCTAAGTCTTTATGAAAAAACAGCTCACTAAGGCCCTGTCCTATGTTGGTAGCTTTCCATCCTAACGATCATAAAGTGTGAAGGTAGAGGCAAAAATGAACGTGTGTGCTTCTGGCCTTACTGATGCCTAACATCTTTTTTTTTTCCATTCTCTCCCATAGAGCTCTTTATTTTTTTATTTTTTCATTTATTTTTATTAGTTGGAGGCTAATTACATTATTGTAGTGGTTTTTGCCATACATTGACATGAATCAGCCATGGATTTACATGTGTTCCCCATCCTGAACCCCCCTCCCACCTCCCTCCCCATCCCATCCCTCTGGGTCATCCCAGTGCTTAACATTTTATCCTCATGAAAAGCTACACTTTTCAGGTTTTTTTATGTTCACTTCGCTGGTCTTTTAATATTTATTTTTATTTATTTGACTCTGCCAAGTCTTGGTTGTGGCGTGTGGCCTCTAGTTCTTGGACCAGGCATCAAACTCGGGCTCCCTGCATCAGGAGCACAGTCTTAGCCACTGGGCCTCCAGGGAAGTCCTGCTTTAACAGTTATTGTTAATATTATTATCTTAACAAAGAGGCTGAGCAGAAAGGGTCATTTGAAAAAGAAAAGTGCATCCCCATCCCTCTCTAGCAAGTGGTGCGAAGTCTGGTCCTCTGCCCTCTGCCTCTGATGGCCTTCGTTTCATTTTCCCCTGCAGTTCAGCTCTGGACTGTTGGAAACTATCACTGGTATCTCAAGCAAAGTCTGCCCTTCAACACCTGTGGGAAGAGCAAGATTGTGTCTCTGATGTGGGACCCGGTAACCCCATACCGGCTGCATGTTCTCTGTCAAGGCTGGCATTACCTCTGCTATGACTGGCGCTGGACGACGGACCGGAGCGCGGGAGATAGCTTGAGTGACATGGCAAATGTGGCTGTTATTGATGGAAGTAAGGAGCTGAAAGGTGTCTGTGGGCCCAGGCGGGGCCTGGGCCGGGGCCTGCAGATGTGGTGGTTTGACTGGAACGGGGGGATTTTTGTTCAATTGATCATTCTGGTTCGCTTTGTTTTCACTTGTGCTTTTGGTTTGGATTCAGTGGGAACACCCTTCGGTGAGGCATATACTCCCCTAAGAACCATGGTCTCTCCTCTCCACCCGCCACGCCCAGCTCCCTGTTGTACTGCAGCCCTGACCTTTACAGGTTCACTTGTCGGGACTTTGAAGACATTGACGTTTCTGACCTCGGGCCAAGAGGAAGACGGCAGTAGGCTTGTGGCATTGCTGTGTCAGCCTGGTTTTCGTCCCCTGACATAGACCTACCTTGACCCCTGCACCACTCTGCTGCGTTGTTTTGGTTTTTGATAAATGCTTGCTAGTTATATACCTTTCCATTGTGTTCAGTTCAGGTCATGACATCTGTCTAGTTCAAGGATGGGATTGGTGTTTTTTAATTAGGTTGAGGGTGTTCGTTTACTGAGGGGGAAGAAACTGGGGAAAGCCGTAATCCCCTGAATAGACAGTTCATTTATTGCTGATGACATAAAGGAAAGCTTGCTCCTAAGATTGTAATGTGAGTTGGTGTGCCGATTTATGTTCTGTGTAGTAGTCACGATACTGATTTTGCAGTCACACGTTCTGTATAGAGGACTTAAGCAGATACGCCTTACTACCAGATCCGTGCACAGGGGTGTGCGTTAAGGATTTTGGTTTAGTCTGGCTTGGTTGCAGGCCCAGGTTTAAAGCTAGAACTCTGACCTCTTGGTCTGCTTGCCCTAGTCCCTGGCACCTGACTCTCCAAGCCCAGAGGTGGGCCTGCTCGAGGCCTGGGGGTAGCCAGGCCTATTTTCGAGGGCTGATAGTAGCAGATACAAACAGAGCCCAGTTTCTTACTTTTCTTCCCTACAATGTGTTTAAGCTTATTCATTATAAAAGCACCAACAATGACTTTTAAAAATGGCTCTGTTTTACAAATTGAACATCCGTGCGTCTGACCCTCCTTCTGTCTTGCTCCCAGACAGGGTGTTGGTGACAGTCTTCCGGCAGAGTGTGGTTCCACCTCCCATGTGCACCTACCGACTGCAGCTCCCACACTCTGTAAATCAGGTCATGTTCTCGGCATACCCTGAGAAGAGTAACAACCTTGCTGTCCTAGATGCCAGTAACCAGATTTCTGTCTATAAATGTGGTATGTTCAGAAGCTGTTATCAGGATGTTCTGAATCACATCCCTCCTATACAAACTATAGTTTGTTGTATAGTAAATACAAACTATAGTAAATTATAGTTTGGTGTTGCCTTCACTCTAGGTTTTCCAAAAATTTTGACATTTATAATTAATATCATTATTATTGTGCTGTTTAATTGACCTGTAGAGTTTTGGGGGACAGAGATTCAGTCCTACTCTGGCTAAGGAGAACAATTCCTTTTGCTTTATTGAAGTTGAAGGGTGGGTTTTTTAAGAATAGTACTCAACTCTAGAAATTAACATAGTGTCCCATTACATCCTTCACATGTTTTACAGTTTTCATTACCATTGCACACATTTTCAGTTGCTCTCACAGCTTTCCTAGGAACTGTGTCAGTGTGGGGTTTTCCAGGTATATAGACGAGGGAACAGAATGCCAGAGGGTTTGAAGTTTGCTTGAGCAAAAAGGGGCGAGAACCTCAACTTAGGTGTTTACGTTTCTAACCTGGTTGTCCTTCCACAGTCCACTGCTGCTTCCACAGTCCACTGCTGTCTCTTTCTAGTTGCTTTCCTCATGTGCTGGAAAAACCTGGAGTTGGTGAATTCTATGGTTGTGTCATGAGTTCTACTGGCTCATGGCTGTGGTAACCTTGTTTTTAAATAAGTTTTGAATTCTTACCCTGAAAGGTGCAGAAATTTAGGAAAGAGTTTGAGATGTGGTTATTTTCTAGATTACTTTATTTGTGAAGTGGATTACCTTCTAGAACCCCATTAACATACAGGACCTCATGTCGTTAATATCAGGAAAAATGTTTGTAGTTTACTATGACAGTATTTGCTTTTTTTTTCCCCCTAGGTGATAGTCCAAGCATAGACTCTACGGTGAAACTGGGAGCTGTGGGTGGAAATGGATTTAAAATTTCCCTTAGAACGCCTCATCTGGACAAAAGATACAAGTAGGTTGTTCTTAGTTATCTTGGACCTCTGGAAACAGGAGCAGCCAGCCTCTGTCCTAAACTCAGCCAACCATTACTGTCTTATCCTGTGCCTGTTGCTCAATGGAACAAGAAATAGATACAACACCTGGGCCCTGGTTTTTCACCTTGGTTGGGGAAGTCAGTTATCTGAACATCATGTATGCTGATAGGTGGTGATGGAATGTAAGTCTTAAAGCTGGCTTGGAAACCATTCCCCCAACATCCCTTGGGGAGTTTTCTCCAGGGAAAACCCCATGGGAAAGATGGAGATGAGGATGATGGAGCAGAGTGCATTTGCTTTCACAAACGAGGAGTCATTCATTGCTAACATGTGGCTGACAACATAGTGCCTGCTCGATCTTATCCTACAGTGCAGAACTTTTGGTTGCTGCATTTTGAGGCTCTTGGGTTGGAAACCAGGAGCCTTGTTTCCATTGAAACTATAGTATAAATAGTTGGATATAGTAATTATGAGTTCATTTCTGTGAAAATCCAGAGTTTGATTCTGTTCTATTTAATACATCTGTGTGCTTAACTACTGTACTACTTTGTCTCTCGGGAGCATTTATTCCTAAATTAATGGGGAATAATGAACAAATAACTGAATTTAATACTTAGTATATAATTCTTAAATATATGCATTATATTTAATAAATGAAAATGTTTCCAACCTCTGTATGATTTGGGAACTGACTGTACAATGCTTAGTAGTTTTTCAAAGAACATGTACATGGATTATTTCATTTCATGGACTGGAAAGAGGACAGATTTAAGACAAACTAGAAAGTGTGAGGCAGTTGAGAATGTGGTTTAATTTTGTAAAATTGTGAGGAGGATAGCTCTAAGTCATTTAGAGAAGATTTCATGAAGGGCATGAATAAATTTACCTTTTTAAATTTTTTATTTACTTATTTTTTGAACTTATTTTGTACTGGAGTACAGCTGACTAACAATGTTGTGATAGTTTGAGGAGAACAGTGAGGGGTCTCAGCCACACATGTGCATGTATTCAGTGAATACTTATCTTGAACCTTGAAGAAAGAGAGGTTGAGGATGGCCAGAGAAGGATGGAGACTGTTGGGCGTGGCAGGGAGAAGAGTGTCAGTGAGAACCAGAGGCGTGCATGCGCCTGCGTGGGGCTGCACTGCGGTGGAGTGACTTGAGTCCAGAAAGAGCCGACTGAGTGGGAAGATCAGGCTGGTAACCCAGCGTCGTCAGTGAGCACCCAGATCTGCTGCTTGAGCTGAATGGCAGGAAGTAGCCGTCATGAGTTCCCATTTGAAGTAGCAAAAACAAGGCCCTCCACCAGTGTTTAAATGCTACAGGAGGAGGGCATTAGAGACAGAGAAATCATCTCTTAAGCTAATTAGTCATTTTGCTATGAGACGCTTAGGAAAGGATGCATTCAGCTGAGACCTCAATACCTGCTGACTATTTGGATGCTGGTGAGCAGTGGCGGTGAAAAACTGCTGGGCTTTATTCGTTAGGGCCTAGAACAGTCAGTTTTTCTTGTGTAATCAGTTTCTTGAAGTGGTTTCTTCAGATCTAAAACTCTCAGAGTGTAAGAAACTTAATTTTAAATAGCAGAAAAACATATTCTTAAGCCAGGTAAGCATTATTATTTTTGGATTTTCTAGTATTGGGCGTTACCTTGGGTTTTGTCCCTCCAAATAATGAGGATTTGACTGTATAGAAAGCAGTGCATTGTCCATTCAGGACAGCTTCAGTGATGTGAAGGTTTTATTCATGCTTTGGAAATTCTTCAATATTTAAAACAGAATTCAGATTGAGGACAGTGAAGCTGAAGAAGTAAACCCACTGAAGCTCAGCCTTCTCACCTGGGTTCAGGAAGACATCTTCCTGGCCGTGAGCCACAGTCAGTCCAGCCGCCAGTCTGTCGTTCACCACCTGACTGTGGCCTCTTCTGAGACGGACGACGAGCAGGGGCAGCTCAACATCAGGTATCAGAACAGATCCCTGTGTTCCGCGTGCTCACAGGCACGTAGATGCAGGCTTTTGTCTTTTGTGAGCATTGGAGTTGGTTTTTTTTTTGCATTCAGAGAGCAGGGTTGAAGGCTGATTGCTTCTTTTTGTACACACACGTTAAGTCTGATTTTTAGCTCTGTCAAAATATAAACTAAAATGCACCAGAAAGTGGTAAAAAATAACACAGATGCCAGTAGATGAGGCAAAATGTTTTTAAGGTATATTAAAACTTTTAATTCAACTTATACTTACCTTCTAGAAAGTAATTATTAGCTTAGGAGAATTAGCAACTCATCAATTATAAGATCTCTACATTTGCACTTCATTTTGATATTCTTGTTATTGTTCAGTGACTCAGTTATGTCTGACTCTGCGACCCCATGGACTGCAGCATGCCCTTCCCTGTCCTTCACCATCTCCCGGAGCTTGCTCAAACTCCCATTGAGTTGGTGATGCGATCCAACCATCTCATCCTCTGTCGTCCCTTTGTCCTCACACCTTCAATCTTTCCCAGCATCAGGGTCTTTTCCAGTGAGTCGGCTCTTTGCATCAGGTGGCCAGAGTATTGGAGCTTCAGCTTCAGCATGAGTCCTTCTAGTGAATATTCAGGGTTAAAGTTATTTTGATGTAGTGACTTCAAAATACTTCTAGCCTCCTCTTCTATAATTTTGTTTGGCACTTGACTGCGTGTACTACTAGAAAGTCTCCTCTATTTTTGTTTGCTAAAGTTTCCCAGCTCCCTGACCCTGAGTTTCATTTTGATTCCTCACTGCATCTTTGTTACCTAACAGGTCTCATTAATGAATGCTCTCTTCTGTATTGTGAGCCCTATTGTGCAGCAGAGTTGTCTGGGAAGCTCTGAGAAATCCTCAGGTTTCCAGTGTCAAAACTCAGCACCTTAGGTATACACTGATAATAATCCCTAGATTCACATGTAATTAAAGGTTCACTGATGAGCTTTAAATCCTGAAAACCGTTGTTGCAAAATTAGGAACCTTTCTTTATTGTACTCATGAAACATACTCCAGTGCTGTTATTACCTTCTAATCTTTGAGTAATAATGCTTCATATTAAAAAAAAATTGTTGTGAATATGTCTAGATGCAGAATATGTTCTAGCTACGTGCATACTTAACAAGGGCTCCCTTTAGAAAACAGAGCAATTGACATTAGAAATGCCTAAATTATGCATATATCTACTATACAAAATTTGAAATTTTTTATCATTATCTTGTGAACGGTAAATGCCATTATCTCATTTGCTGTAAAGGAAGTGAAAAGTCATTTAAAATACGTTTCTGCTGCTTTGACTTCTGTTTTTCAAAAAAGACTATTTCATTCATATAAAATATTAATGTGTTTGATAAATATAAAGTCCCACAATCAGCTTATAGCTCTTCATAGTTAACATTTACTATAACTTATGCTTTGTAAAAGGTACTCTTTTAAGTGCTTTTCCCTATGTTAACTCACTTATTTTTCATAACACGTCTTTGACATGTACTGTTATCATTTTACAGCTGAGGCACAGAGCAGTTTCAGTAACTTACTGAGATAATGGAGGTGGAGCCAGGATCCAGGCCCAGTAGTGCACCTCCAGAGTCCATTCCCTTGACTTCACAGATAATTTATCCTCTCCAAATTTGTGGCTTTTTTTTTTTTTGGTAGACTGGTTAAAACCTCTGAATATATGTTAGCATTGGCACCACTTGCTTTTATTGCTACCTCCACTTCCTTTCAGACATGTCTACTTTTGGTTCATTGACTCAGAAAAAAATATAACAGCATTAACAGTTTTCTTTCTTCCCATTAATGAAGCCCACAGATTTCTAGGGATACGTACAGTAGCCATAGAGATACTGAATATGCTCACTTTCCTACAGATTGACTGCTTTACTTAATCCAGTTTGTATTGGGTTGGCCAAAAAGTTCATTCAGGTTTTGGGCACAATGGTATAGCAAAACCTGAATGAACTTTTTGGCCAACCCGATATTGACAGATAAATATTGACACTATATTGTCTACTGAAGGCAGCAAATTGTAATTCACAATAAGTTGCACAAGTTGCTTCCAGAATAGGACTGATGACCTCACACCTGGCTTACTGACATTGTGGAAAATACGTCACGTTGACAGGTAATTGCATTAACTGGGCTTGTGCTTGCAGTAGTTTATCTGTTAGTGTGTATATAAACATATGTGTGTTAGTATGTATATAAACATGTTTATTATGTTGTATTGAACGAGGCAGTGCAGCACCAGAGGAAAATTGCTTCTTTTTCTGTTTTGCAAAATCAATGAATTGTCACTACTTCTGAGAAAACTGGTCTATTCATGTTTTCTTCATCTCCTTTTTTTTTTTTTCACTCTTCTCAGTTCATCTGTGACAGTGGATGGGGTCATAATCAGTCTGTGTTGCAACCCCAAGACCAAGTCAGTAGCCCTGCAGGTGGCTGGTGGCCAGATATTTAAGTACCTTTGGGGTGAGTATCAGAATGTTGGGAAAACATGTTTATGACTTACATACATATTTAAATTTTGAGAAAGTGTACTTGGGAGTGTTTTACAAGTGCCACATTGATTATTAGGTCTTTCAGCTATCCTGGAAATCCTTAATCTGTAGAGTAGAATCAGCATGTGTGTTCTACCTGTATTTTCTCTTGCAATAAACCTGATTATTCTCATGAGTTTCCAAAACACATTTGGAGAATGATTTAAATTGCATGTTAAGTGTTTTAGCAAGCACTGATGGGAGAGTTTTTCACAAAGAGCAGATCAGCTTTTGGTAAACCTCATCTGCCAAACCTGCAGAGTCGCCCTCTCTGGCCGTTGAACCATGGAAGAACCTGGGTGGCTCTCCTGTTCGGTTTCCGTACCTGTGCACGCAGACTGAATTGGCCATGATTGGAGGAGAGGTAAGTGAACATAAGGCAGAAGAATTGACCTCATGGAGCAGTGACCTAGGAGCTGACAGCATTAAGTAGGAAGAGCGTGTGCTTTGAAAGTGGACCTGAGTACCCGGTAAATCTCAAGGCAACAATGAGAAGATCCTCACTTTCCTGAACCTCAGCTTCTCAGTTTATGAAATAGGTTTAAGAGTTTGCCTCGCATGTGTCAATAGTAGTTAATTGATTGCTTTCCTTGGAGGTATAAACTCAAAAATAGAAAAAATGCAGTTGGCAGAATTATCCCCAGTTGTCTAGAACATTCAAAACAGAACACGTACAGAACTAACAAAATTAGTCTTATTAGTAACTTTTGGGCACAACAGAAATGTAATCTTGAAATGAGTATTGAGTAAATTATTAGTCATCAGATATTAGAATTGCCTATAATTGTGCAGGAGGTAGGGTGCAGTGATTAGAGAACAAAACTGCCAACTAGTTCCTGCCCTCGTGGAAGTTTTAATCTTGCAATATGGGTATGGCCATCCCCTCTGATAGGAGAGTGAAGTCAGTGAGAGCACCAAGAGGATTGATGAGGCTAATTAGAGGATGGTAGCTGTGAGGATGCAGAGGCCAACTTCTGGTGGTCTGGGAAAGTCTCTAGGATGTGCTGAGGTGTGGAGAAAAAGAAAGCTCTATCTCTGAGAAAGGGAGAATTTTTCAGGGAGGAAGAACTGTGCATATTGTAAATAAACTTAGAGCTCAGCTTATTCAAGGAACCTAATGGAAGCAATGGCTAGACGCAGAGGAGTATGCATTTACTAACTGAACAAAGACTTGAGAAATTGATGATATTAATCAGGGAGTAATGTGATGTGCTTCATGGTTGGAAAGGCCCAGTGGGAGTGTGTTGAAAGGGACGAGAGTGGAAGTGACTGTTGGAGTGGAGGCAGTGAGGGGTGAAAGGTGATATGTTTGAGATGTGTAGGAGACAGAAATGTCAAGGCTCCCGAGGAATTGGATGGCATCAGAGATCACTTTGCCCTGGACCAACCACCTTAGGCATCTTGAGTCCTGATTACAAGGACTTATGTGAAATCATAGGACAGTAGAACCATATAACAGCAACCAAAAAATTTGGTTTCACTAGTTTGGTTAGTTCTAAGTTGTGTTTGACTCTTTTGAGAGCCAATAGACTGTAGCCCACCAGGCTCCTCTGTCCATGGGAGTTCCCAGGCAAGAATGTTGGAGTGGGTCGCCATTTCCTTCTCCAGGGGATCTTCCTAACCTAGGGATCAAACCCACATCTCCTGTATTGCAAGAGTATCCTTGACCACTGAGTTACCAGAGAAGCCCCAGTTTGGTTAGAATTGTTGGTAATTTCTTTTTTTTTTTTTTTTTTTTTGCAGGAATGTATCCTTGGTTTGACTGACAGATGTCGCTTTTTCATCAATGATGCTGAGGTATCATGGCTTGTTTTGATGCTGGATCTTTTTCCATCTTGATTCCAAATAATATAACTAACTCTCCGCCTTGCCTCCCCAACCTATTGTAGGTTGCATCAAATATCACATCATTTGCTGTATATGATGAGTTTTTATTGGTGACAACTCATTCCCATACCTGCCAGTGCTTTTGCCTGAAAGATGCTTCATTGAAAAGTAAGTTTTCAGTGTAAAGATAGAAAATAGTCCTTCTTCTAATATCATTTGTCCTTTGAAGTCTCGATGACTTTTATGTCTGTCATGTACTTTGGCTTTTTATCCTGGAGTCCTAGACTGGAGAAAATGTCAAGTTCATTTACTTAGCCTCTAATCTCAGTATCTCAGTTAAATCATTCCACGCCAGTTATCAAAGAGTGGGAGGTCCTTCCTTAAAGCAGCATACCCTGATAAAAAAATTTTCAGTAAACTTCTTAACTCATATTTTACTTTCAATTACTATGTAGATGGCAAACTGGCAATACGCTCAATCTTCTTTGTGGCCACCCTCCATTGTACATCTGAAGGCCTCCATCTTGTGGTTTGTAGGAAATTGGTTGCAGTTTTTCCTTGATTCCCTGCATCCCCCTCTCCCATGTGTATGTGTGTGCTATTATTAAGAAAGAAATGGCCCACTTGTTTTCTTTACTTCTAACTTGAAAATGGAATCTTTCACTGATGTGATTAGAGTGTACTGATAAAGCTAAGACAGAGAAGCTGCCTAGTCCTCCCACTGGTTTCCATGTCAGTTGAGAAGTTGTGTTTGTGAATCATGTGTGAGGGCTCTGTAAGAGAGGGCAAGATCCGGGGATGAACTTGTTTATCTGAAAAGCTGATGGTCTTGAGGCTGAGTGACAGAGCAATCCGGCCTCATTATTAATCACTTCCTTCTCCTTCGGATAACATGCTGTTTCAGCTGCAGTTAATGGGGAGTAGCTTGTCTTGATAGTGATTCTCAAGGCTTGGTCTGTGGTGTCTCTAGCGTTGCAGGCAGGTCTGAGCAGCAGCCACGTGCCTAATGGCGAGTCTCTGCGGAAGGTGGAGAGGGGTTCACGCATCGTCACTGTTGTGCCTCAAGACACAAAGCTTATATTGCAGGTACACTGATTTTTCAGGCTGTGTTTCTGATCGTCGTTTGGCAGTAAATACCAGACAGTTCTTGTGGATTATATTTTATCATTTGTATTAATTTATTATAAGCCTTTCCTTGCTAAGTTCTTTATTAGCTTTATACACAGGAGTGTTAAAACAGGCCCTTCCCAGTAAGGCTAAGAGGGAAACCTCTTAAAAGTCAAAGTAAATTTTGAGCACAACTAGATTTTGCCAAAAGTGTGCTCATTTTACAGTGTTGTGTTAGTTCTCGAAGAAGAGTTAGGTAAAGTTGTATATTCTGGGTATTTAAATTTTTTCTGTTTAATTAAACACGTTATTGATTTGATTTATTTATTTTAAGATGCCAAGGGGAAACTTAGAAGTTGTTCATCATCGAGCCCTGGTTTTAGCTCAGATTCGAAAGTGGTTGGACAAGTAAGTACCATGTATATGATTAGTTAGCTTATTGTTATGTTATGTGTTATGTTATGTTATGTGTTATGTTGTGTGTGAAGGCAGCAAGTAAGTCTTTCTGTTAAGATTTTTAAAACTTAAAAAGTATTTAAATATTTCATTACAGATATCTTCAATCAGATTCTCAGAGGCTTTCTTCTTTTGGCACGTAGATTCTTAAATTGTATGGTGTAGAAGACATTCCTAGCAGAAAGAATGATGAGGCTCGTTGTATGAAACAGCTTCCTAGCCCAGGGTGATCCATATGGACCTTAGATGGCCTGTGAACCCAGGGCAATTTTATGCTATCCTGTATCTGTGTATTTATCTGGGCAGAAGGTCCAAGGCTTTCATCTAACTTATAAAAAGTCCTATGGCCCTAAAATACCTGAGCCACTGTTGTGAAGGAAATGATCCATTGTTTGAATCTTTGAATTTGGGGGAAAGTTTATTTTGGAAAGATAGATGTTTACTAACATTTTGTTAAAAAAGAAGATAGCCCTAAGTTCCATAAAGATTTTCTTGTGTGAGTGTGTGGGGATCAAGTCCTTGGGTGGCCTTGATGACTAAATCGTCACACCATTTAGGAAGTAAATGAACCTGGTGCCTGATTCTTTTTCATTCTATGATTTCAGAGCAGAAATCCAGTAGTAGTTGGGCTGTAGTCTTAATTTTAACTGGTTTATATCCTTATGAAAATGTGCTAGGTCCAAGGAGCTGAGTTTTTGTGAAATGCCCCCCTCTCTCCATTTTCCGTCTCTCCCCAGACTTATGTTTAAAGAAGCTTTTGAATGCATGAGAAAACTGAGAATTAATCTCAATCTGATTCACGATCATAACCCTAAGGTAACATTCTAAATCTGATATTTATCATAGTCTACTTTAGGCTTGAGTGAATATGATCTGAACTAAAATGTTTTGTCTTTGTTTTTTTTTTTCTTTTTTTGGATAGGTGTTTCTTGAAAATGTGGAAACCTTCATAAGACAGATAGACTCTGTGAATCATATTAATTTATTTTTCACAGAATTGAAGTAAGTATTTTGAATAGTTCATGAGTATCATATCCATAATTTTCTCTTTTCTGGTTAAGGAAATTGAACAGATAAATAGAGGAGAAAATTTACTTTCAATATAATTTTTTAAATCTCTAACTCTTAGATGCCACATATACTGGATTTTTACTTTTTTCCCTTCTTTTTAAAACTGAAACTTTAAAACATATCATGTAAATTATTCTTTGACTTTATATTTAGGTATACATATAAAAACTATTAATTGAAATAAATGGCTTCTTTTTCTGCAATGACTTTTATCTAAGTTTATAAATGAAAAATTTGAACATATAAGAAAGTTGAGACAGTTGTCCAGTGAGCATCCTATACCATCACCTACATTCTACAGTTCATATTTCATGTATTTGCTTTATCACTATCTACCATCTGTCCATCCACCGTTCATCTTTATTTTAAATAAATTTCAAGATAATTTTAGACAATTTTAAATCCACTTTCCCTGTCAGTACTTCGCCTTGTGTGACATTAACTAGAGTGTATTCTGTGTGTACAGGTCCCACCCGCTCCGCGTCAAATTTATCTATAGCAAAATGCACAGATTATAAGTACTATTCACTGAGTTCTGACAAATGTATGCTTCCATGTACTCCTGGCCCCTGTCAAGGTAGAGAACATTTCCTTCTCAGAAAGTTCCTCCAAACCCCTTTGCATTTATTCTTTCCCCACCCTTTTGGCAACTGCTTTTTTGAGTTCTTCACTGAAGATCAATTTTGCCTGTTCAGGAACTTCCTAGAAATGAATGGTATGTCATAGTATTGACTTTTCTGTGTAAGTAAAGCTTCTTTCATTTAGCATGTTACCTGGAGATTCATCCATGTTTTTGCATGTATCGCTAGTTTATTCTTTTTTATTGTTCAGCAGTATGCCATGAAAAAGAAAGTGAAAGTGTTAGTCACTCAGTCGTGTCCAACTCTTTGTGACCCCAAAGACTGTAGCCCACTGGGCTCCTCTCTCCATGGAATTCTCCAGGCAGCAATACTAGAGCGGGTTGCCAGTTCCCTTCTCCAGGGATCTTCCCGACTCAGGGATCGAACCTGAGTCTTGTGCATTGCAGGCAGACCCTCTGCCACCTGAGGCGCCAGGGAGGCACAGCACGCCATGGTGCAAACATACGCAGCTGACTGCTCACTCTCCTGTGGGTGGACACCTGGCCTGGACCCAGTTTGGGCCATATCGCTGTAACATCTATGAACGTCACCATTTAAGTCTTCTGTGGATATGTTTCACTTCTCAGTGAGCTTCTCCATATTTCACTAGATATGAATATTTTTAGAATTAACTGCCTTCCAAAAGCATTTTTATTTATTATCTCATCAACACTCCTACATATGTGTTAGTAGTTTGATAGCTGGGACATGTGTTTGGTTTATGACCTTTTAATACACACTTGTTCTTAGGGAAGAAGATGTTACAAAGACCATGTATCCTCCACCAGTTGCTAGCACTGTTCCACTCTCCAGCGATCCTGATGAGAAAAAAGTAGACCTCATCTGCGATGCTATGAGAGCAGCCATGGAGAACATAAACCCTCACAAGTACGTGTGCTGTCCTGAGTTGGCATCTTTTGAATAACAGAGGTGCGTAGTAGTTTTTCTTCAGCTTGTTCATCATTCTTATTATGCTGTCCTTCACCGACCACTGCAGGTACTGCCTGTCAATACTCACCTCTCATGTGAAGAAAACTCCCCCAGAACTGGAGATTGCGCTGCAGAAGGTACACGAACTTCAAGGTAGAGACATGTTGACAGTCTGTGTGTATCGGGGTCCCGACTGACATCAGGTCTTCATTCTTCGGGAGATAGCCCTGACTAGGAAATAGCACCACATCCCCAATTCAGCCTGTGGCCTTTTGGTCTCCACTTTAAGACCTGGGTCCGTTTTTTTTGAGTGCTACCCTACAAAGCGTGTACAAAATCGTCAAAGAACTGTTTTCCGTCTGATGTCCACTTTTGTCAGGAAAATGTGTTACTTTCTCTTTTTGGTCATGCTTCTAGGTGTGTGGGTTTTTTCCCCAAATGATTTTGTTCTGTTTCCTTACACATGGACAGGAAATGATCCCCCAGTCCCTGACGCTGTGAGTGCCGAAGAGGCCCTGAAATATTTGCTGCTTCTGGTAGATGTTAATGAATTATATGACCATTCTCTTGGGACCTATGACTTTGATTTGGTCCTCATGGTAGCTGAGAAGTCACAGAAGGTATGTGGAGTTACTCCTTCAACACAGTTAGTATTTTTGTTTATGCGAACGTGATAGTGTGAAGCAGTGCTCCTGACAGTGCAGAGTTTGGGCTGAAATTAAAGCTGTGAATACAGGCCTCCAGGCAGATCTGCGAGTCTCCAGGGTCCATCCTTACAGGTTCATTCTCTGTCACTGTTCTGGGCTTATCAGAGTGTTTTGATTGCTAGATTGAACAATTGAAATAAAGCTGTTTGATTGTTTTCAAGCTTACAAGCCAAAATGAGAACAAATTCTCCTCTTATAAAGGAAATACAGCAGGTGATTTATATTCCAGTCCAGCTTTATCATGGAGCATCTTTTCCCAGTGGAAATTAGGAACCTGGAGAATAGAAGGGTTCGAGGCCTCTTTGTCTCACCTTGACTTGCTATGGTCCAAAAGTTTGAGCACCTCTGGTTTGCACATTTTTTATCTGGTTTTTTTTTTTTGCACCCTCAGTTTCAGCCCCTATCATTCCTTTCTTTGCTCTTGCCAGAATGACCTTCCCAAAGAGGAAAATTTGATCCCCATTCCTCTGCTTACAATTGTTTATGGGCTCCCCCTTCCCCCTAGGAAGAAGTTCAGAGGCTATATGCTTCTCTTCAGTGATCTGGGACTTGTGTATCTCTCAGTTCTCCTCTCTTGATGTTATCCCCCTTTCTCTGCAGTGGATGTAAGGCAGTACTTTTGTCTCCCAACTGCCACATACCTTTGCAGGCACTCTCATCCTCTCTGTTCACCTAGCTGATTCTCACTCATCTTGGTTGAAGGAAGCCCAGGTGACATTTTTTCATTAAACCATTCTTGCTGCCTCCCTGCCCAGCATCCGGGGACTGAATGAGATGGCCTTCCCATGTGCCTTTACGGCACCCAGTGCCTGCCAGTGTACCCGTCTATCTCTTCTACTAGATTTTCAGTTTCTTGAGAATGAGGGAACCTTGTTTTCCATAGTAACCTATGAAACAATTGGTATTGTGAGATTTAGCTAAGAGTTAGTCATAACTAAGAAACTAAGAACACCCATGTGTTAAGGCATTTTTTTCCAAATGTGGTTTTATTTAGTTTGACTTTTTATATAATTGATATATTAATACACTGCATATTTTGAAGAGGGCTTCTGTGGTAGCTCAGATGGTAAAGAGTCTGCCTGCAGTGCAGAAGACCTTGGTTTGATCCCGGGGTCAGGAAGATACCCTAGAGAAGGAAATAGCTACCTACTCCAGTATTCTTGCCTGGAGAATTTCTTGGACAGGGGAGCCTGATGGGCTGCAGTCCATGGGTGTGTGAAGAGTTGGACTCAACAGAGCAACTAACAGTTTCACTTTCATATATTTTGAAAATGATGTAGCTTTTGATTTATTGCTATAATTACTATATATTTTTATTTTTAAAAGTAAGTATAATCACAGGCACTATAATTACCCTTTAAAAAAATTTTTTTAGGATCCCAAAGAATATCTTCCGTTTCTGAATACACTTAAGAAAATGGAAACGAATTATCAGCGGTTCACTATAGATAAATATTTGAAACGATATGAAAAAGCCATTGGCCACCTAAGCAAATGTGGTAAGTGTGAGGGTTAGTATATTTCTGTTCAAATATTCTTTGGTAGGGTATAAGTTGAAATCAGATGTTAGTTTAGACAGACTGATGTCAGTTTTTACACCTGAAAATGTTAATAACTGTGCCTGCAGACCTGATTTTTGTCAGTTTTGACAAGCTGAGGGTACAGCAGATGTCTCTGAGTGAGCTTGGGGAGGCTCATAGCTCAGATCCTTTTGAGTTGAGTGATCACCTTTGAAATTCACTTCCATGTCTCAAAATCAAAATTGGTTGATGCTTCGTTCTTCTCATGGTGTATGCAGACACCCCTCTGAGTGGCTATGCCTTCTGTGCCCTGACGGACACAGTTCTGACTGGCAGTCGGATGAAGTAGAACCAGCGCAATGCCGGGTGTTCCGCCACCCGTGCCTGACTGGTGCCGAAACCTCGGCCTTCAGTATTCGTGATTTTTCCCTGAAGGCTGAGACAGGGGCAAGACGAGTCACCTGAGGTGCTTGCATTCAGATCTGTCTTCCTTGGAGAATCAGGTTCACCTGGGCTGGGCTGGGGCTCAGGCATGTGTATATGGTTGATAAGCTCCCTAGATGGTTCTTATTAAGAAGGCTGAGAAAACACTGGGCTGGATGGTCATTTCTCAGGGGCCGTGTAAAATTCCTTTTGAGCAGAACTCTGATCCCAATTAGTGCTTCTCAAATTTCAGAATCTGCAGCAGTGCTCATTAAAGTTCACATTCCTGCATTCCATTTCTCTAGATACTCTAATTAATGCAGGTCTTAAAGAGCTCCCTTGCTGATTTTATGTAAGGACCAGTGGTAGAGATGAAATCCATTACGCTTCCCCAGTCTTAAGCTTGTGTGTGTATGAATCTTATTCCTATAGGACCGGAGTACTTCCCAGAATGCTTAAACTTAATAAAAGATAAAAACTTGTATAACGAAGCTCTGAAGCTCTACCCACCGAACTCACAGCAGTACAAGGTGTGTAACGTGAAATGAGAGCTCCCGATTTTGCTCTGTGCTTCTGTTGGAAAGGGGTGAGGATCCTGTGTCCCTAACACTTGGTTTCAAAGTTAATCTTCAAACTAATTACCCTTATCTTGAATTTATCCGAGAGAATAGCCCTCACCTGTTCTTCTCGTGAAGAAGTTGCTCAGGCCAGAAACCTAGGCATTGTCACTGGATCCTCATCGGAAATACCATGGCGGCTTCCATCCTGCCCCCTCCAGCCCAACCTCACTGAGCATCCTGAATGGTGCATCTTTCCTGTATAATTCTGCATGAAGTTTGGTTTGTTTGTTTAAACAAACAGACATCTGTTTAGCTTTTCTCATATGCTAGATACTTCTCTTATCAGCTACATGAATTCTCACAACAGCCTGATAGGTGTTGCGCACAGTTTTTAAATGAGGAAGCACTTTGCCCAAGAACCTGCAGTATGGAGCCCGTGCCATCATCGCCACCATTTTCAGTTTGTCTACAAATTACACACATCCTCTGCAATCTGGCCACTGCCTCCTCTCGCGCATCGGCCGCCTCTGCCGGCCCTCTACCTCCCCGTCCTCCTAAACTCTCAGCTCTCTGCCAGAAAACCAGTCCTGGGTGAGGTGCCAAGCACTGAGCTCCCAGCACACCTCATTCTTGCCTTGGCGATGGCATTCATCAATCTGCTATGTACTGATTCTTTTTCCCCCACCAGGCTGTGGGTTCCCTTAAGGGCGGGGACCCCGTGTTATATCCCTCTGTTGCCCTGCCTGATGCTGAGCTTGGGGAACAGAGAATTTGGCCAAAGGCCGCCTCTTTGCTCTCATTTTCATTATCTGTTCCTCTCCTGTGCTCGCTCTGCTCCAGTCATACTGGCCTTGTTATTCTGTCCTGTGTATTCCACCCCCACTCCTGCCTGATCGCCACGCTGTCTTCTGTGCTCTTGGCGTGGAATACTCTCCCCTGACTCTAAACGTGGCTTCTCACAGCCCTCTGAAGCAGCATTCCCATCACTGTGTCCCTTTCCCACTGTCTGCCATTATATTGTTGACCCTGCCGTGTTTATAAAGTGTGTTCTCTTTTACCACCAGGACAGGAGCTAGGTCGTGATTCTTGCTAGTGTTTTTTGTGTTTGGTTCGTTGGCGGTTTTTTTTTCCCCTTGTTTTACTTTTGCATTGCTGTCTTACTCCCACTTCCCTAAATAGTACTCAGTAATTGTTGGATGCGGAGAAGACAATGGCAGCCCACTCCAGTACTCTTGCCTGGAAAATCCCGTGGACAGAGGAGCCTGGTGGGCTGCAGTCCATGGGGTCGCTAGGAGTCAGACATGACTGAGCGACTTCACTTTCATTTTCATGCATTGGAGAAGGAAATGGCAACCCACTCCAGTGTTCTTGCCTGGAGAATCCCAGGGACGGGGGGGCCTGGTGGGCTGCCGTCTATGGGGTCGCACAGAGTCGGACACGACTGAAGCGACTTAGCAGCAGCAGCAGCAGTTGTTGGATGAATAAACAACATATCCTCAGTAAGGTTTTGAATGAAAAGAAGATTGAATTCACTAGTCATCCACAGGGTTTTTCTAAGTAATTCCAGGGAATTTCAAGTATACTGACCACGACAGACTTCCTTAGAGATTCAAAAAACAAGTTACCACCCTTCCTCACTGACCCCGTGTCTCCTCCTGTCCCAGGACATCAGCATTGCTTACGGGGAGCACCTGCTGCAGGAGCGCCTCCATGAGCCGGCAGGCCTCGTGTTTGCCCGCTGCGGCGCTCACGAGAAGGCGCTCGGCGCCTTTCTGGCCTGTGGCAGCTGGCAGCAAGCGCTGTGTGCGGCGGCCCAGCTTCGCCTGACCGCAGAGCAGCTGGCTGGCCTGGGCAGGACTCTGGCAGGTAAGCACGGTCATTAAGGTTCTCCCAAACGAGAACTCCCCTGAGGGTTTGTGTCTCTCTGGCTTTGTTTGGAATTTTCGCAAATACCCTGTAAGGCAGCACACGTTGATGCCCTCTCACAGGCACTGATGAAAATTAATTCGGAATGGATTACTAGGTGGAGTAAAAGTTGAACTGCTACAAGAGTCCCCAGATACGATGGCCCAGTAGGGAAAGCAGCTCACGTCTCTCTCTCAGCCCTGGCAGCTCCTCCCACGGTGCAGGTCTGCTGTCTCTTCGGCAGTAGTTGAAGCTGGATTTTCTCCGTATCTGTGTTCCAGTCCTCGGGGAGGGGAAACACTGGAGTCATGAGAGTATGCTTTTTTTTTTTAAACACTATTTATTTATTAATATTTTTAGTTATTTGGATGCGTCAGGTCTTAGTTGTGGCATGTGGGGTCTTTCGTTGTGGCGTGTGGGATCTGTAGTTCCCTGAACAGGGAGCAGACCTGGGCCCCCTGCATTGGTGTGCAGAGTCTTAGCCACAACAGCACCAGGGAATTCCTAGGAACACTTAACTCTAAGTTGGCAATGACCTAGCTAACCCTCCTTCTCCACCTCATTCACTGAAACTCACAGCTTATAGGTACACTTGGTACAGTGTAGCTGGGGAGCCAGGTGCCCTGTAAGAATGTAAAGATGAATTTTGAGATGGAGCCATTCAAATACAGACAGTAGATTGCTGGAGAACATAATGGCGGTTTTCAGAAATGAGGCCAAATGTATAAGCAGTCTGAAAGCAGAGCCAGTTTAGCTGTTTCAGGGTGTGAAACCTGAACCAGAGGCAAGGCTCTTCCAGAGTCTGATTTCTTAGAGTGGAGTGGCATCCCCAGAGTGCCCAGGCGAAGAGACAGGTGGGGCTCTGGCCCTCTCAATCATGCTTGAAGTGAGTAGTTGGTATATTTTCCCCCTATTTTTCAAGAGTCTTGTAAATATTGTTATGATTTCCCTCAAAACAGTCCTGAAAAAAATTTCAAATTATAGTCTGTTAAACATACGAACATATTCTATTTAGTTATTTCACTTTGTTTTTTCCCCCCTTGGGATTAAAAAAAACGTGTGAGATTATGACTTTTTCCAACATTTTCTGGTTATTAGATGGGCTTCCCTGGTAGCTCAGCATATTGGTTCTATAGACTCTTCTATAAGCCCTTTCAATTTCTAAGCTGAAGTCTTTTTACAAGTATTGAGAAGTTCTTATTTGAGTCCTATTAACTCTTCATTCTGGCTCCATTGATATTTCTGCTCTAGAAACTTGTTGTTTGTAGCTTGTACTTTCCAGCTCTGTTCTTGGGGGTCTCTGTTATCTTACATTTTTTTGCAACTTTTAGCTTCCTGTTTTTCATGCCTTATAGTGCAGTATACCTAGTTTTCCCAGATGTTTAGCAGAAAAAGGTGGAGAAGAGAGTGGTGAAAGATTTTTGGGAAATTTTATAAGGTGGAGTCACTCATTTGTACATGTAACTTGGGCAGTTTACACAAGTCAGCAAAAGAGAGAAAAGATAACCATTTAGTGGAGGAGACTTCCTGGTTTTGTAAATAATATGCCCTGGAATTTGCATGAAATGGAAGATATGAGTCTGCCAGCCCCTTAGTTAACTTTGGTTTCTATGTGCCTCTCGTCGAGGCACACTCCCAGTCAACTGGACCAAGAGTGATTCTCAAATCTCAAGATACTGTCACACCCCTGACAAATGCCAACTACCCCCATCTAGTGCTCAACCAAAGAAACAGCAGCATCTTCCTATTAGAGGAAGAAATGGATTCGTGAGAGTGCTAGGTCAGTTTCCATATGAATGCCTTTGTAAGCATTTTTTCATGAATGATTTTGACTATATGTGATTTTCACATCCCATGCTAAATTTAGATTTTAATTGCCACTTTAGGATAGGACTCTGGTATTCCTTCCTATCTCTCTTATAGAAATTCACAAAGTATTAATATTTTGCTTGATGCAAAATAGACATAATGCTCGCTCAGTGGTATAGAATCTGCTTGCCAATGCAGGAGATGCAGGTTAGATCCCTGAGTCAGGAAGATCCCCTGGAGGAGGAAATGGCAACTCACTCTACTAGTTTTGCCTGGAAAATCCCATGGACAGAGGAGCCTGGCGGTCTATAGTCCACGTGGTTGCAAAGAGTCAGACATGACTGAGCACACGCATCAAAGACATAATAGTGAAGCATATCAGCAAAAGAATGGTTAACTCTGTCTTACCCAGTGCTTCACAAACATTCTTGACCTGAAAATGGTTTCTTGGTCCTGCCTTTCATTGTTCTTGCAACAATCTTGGGGAACACTTTTGAAAATGCTATTTTAAAGCAGCTCATTTTGAGTGTATACTCTGTAGAGCTCAAGCTCCAATATGTAGGAGACCATTTTGATTTAAATAGTACCACTGAAAACCATTTCCACTTGTGTTTTGGTAATGCTGATCTTAGCCAACCATGAGAGTCAAATGCTTGCTATTGTCTTTGCAGGAAAGCTAGTTGAGCAGAGCAAACACAGGGATGCAGCCACAGTTTTGGAACAGTACGTGCAGGTAAACTCAGTTCTTCTCTTCTACTCACACCCCCCAACATACACATGCCAAGTAATTACTTCTCATTTGTACCTTAGCAATGGTGAAAATGAAAGGAACTGTGGGTATTTAGGAAATCCAGAAATAGTATTTCCCTTGAAGATCTTCCATCTTGCCTACTTGACTTGGAAATCTAAATTCAGTATTTCTCTAAATAATTGTAATTTCTGTGAGGTAGAATAAAGAACTCTAATATGCACTAGTGGCTTGACCTTGGTGGAAAGTAGAAATTAAATCATAAGGCAGTTATATTTTTTATATTAACATACCAAAGTAGAAACAGTGAGAAAAGACCAGTCTAAACCAAAGTGATTGAACTTGAGACAACCTTTTTTGGCTTTCACTCCCATTCTCTCTCTTGGAAATGTCTGTTTTACCTCAGGCAGCTTTTTGGGTTCCAACTTTTCAGCAGATTATAAAGTATCCATACCAGCTTTTGACAGAATTGTAGATTTATTATGAAAATAGTAAATCCATGCATTGTCATGGGCCACAGACTCAAAGGACACAGGCATATAAATGTTACCAGGGATTCTTGCCTTCTAGAGTTTTGGCCTTTGATGAGAAAGTGTTGTTACTAGCAGTCACACTTGCATAACAAAATTATGCTTTTATAATACTTCATTGTCTTTCATCTAATAAGGATGAGTGAAAGAAGATAACTAAAATTTGATATCACTATATCCTAGAAAGAGAATATGGTGATTCAGCTGAAAACATTGAGATATATCCCACTTAAGATGGTTAATGAAATGGAAAGGATGCTCACTTGTGATTTCTAACATTTCTTTTTTATTCTTTCTTAGGACTTCTCTGCCTGTGGTCTCATTACCCATCTGTCCTTGCATGTTGTCTCTTTTTTCCATTTGAGATGTTATCATAGTTATCATACTCATTTTTTAATTCCCAGCCTCAAAATCTCAAAACACCTGCCATATCAGTGTCAGGTTCTGATGCTTGCTCTGACTCTTCAAATTGCATTTTTATCCCTTTTTAAAAATGCCTTATAATTTTTTGTCAAAAGTCTAATGTGATACCTGGGTAAAAGGAAATTTGATCAGAAGGCCTTTAGTGACATGATGATGAGGCTGGGGTTTGGGTGGGAGGAGAAGTGTTCTAGTCTGTGATTAGGCCTCAGTCTTTGAGTATGTGCTTCAGCAATAAGCTTCACCAGGGCTTGTCAGGTTTTTTTCACCTTCAGGTAGGACAGGAAAGTTAGAATGGGCCAGAGTTGGGTATTTCCCTGCCCCCACATTGGAGGTCCTGGTGAAACCCACTTTGATTAGGCTGTGGCAAAATACTTTCTCTTGAGAGCAGGTCTTGTTAAAATCAGCATGCTTTGGATATATTTTCACGTCTCCTTTTTCCTCCCCCCTGCTAGAAATATGAGGGTATTTCCTTGTATTCAGTATGAGAAGTTCTCTTAAGGCTCCTGGAGGTAAAAACTCATGAAGATGTAGCATCTCCCTGAGTATGGACCACTATAGAGTTTTTTACTCTGGTCTTGTCTACCGTGAGTGGTATTAGCTAGAGAAATTCAGTCTTTCACCCTGTGTGTGATGTTTGCTGGTTTTTGGCAACAGGGTTGTTTGTTTAATAGATGTGAGAAACTGGTAAGGCTCTTACTGGGTTTGGCAAACTGCAACCTGGGGGCCAAAGCTAGCTGACCACCTGTTTTGTAAATTTTTATTGAAACATAGCCCCACCAATTGTTTACACATTGTGTGCGGCTGCTGTTGCACTTAAAACCACAAGAGTTTGAGGACTTGTAACAGTCTGTCCCAGAAAGCCTAAAATATTAACTGTCTAGCCTATTATGGAGAAAAATTGCCAATCCTCACCCTCTTGGGTTGAGAAAATTATCTTCTGTTTCTGGTTCTGAGAGTTTTTGTCATGAGTGGGTATTAAATTTTGCCAAATGACTCTTAAACTAAGATATGTTTTTTATTTTTAGACCAGTGATAGGGTGAATTGCATTGACTTTTTTTCCTTTTTTTATCTTCTTTTTTATTGAAGTATAGTTGATTTACAATGTTGTGTTAATATATAGGAAAGTGATTTGGTTATACATATATATATCCACTCCTTTTTTATGTTCTTTTCCATTATGGTTTATCATTGGATACTGAATACATCAACAGTTCTCTGCACTATACAGTAGGACCTTGTTAATCCATTGCATATATTACAGCTTACCTCTCCTAACCCCAACCTCCCACTCCATCCCTCTCTTAGCCCCCCTTGGCAGCTGCACATCTGTTCCATAAGTGTGAGTGTGTTTCTGTTTCATAGATAGGTTCATTTGTGTCATATTTTAGACTCTATATAAGTGATATCACATGGTATTTGTCTTTCTCTTTCTGACTTTGGTATGGTAGTTGCTAGTTGCATCCATGTTGCTGCACATGGCATTTCATTCTTTTTATGGCTGAGTAGTGCTCCATCATATATACGGACCACGTCTTCTTTATCCATTCATCTGTTGATAGACATTTAGTTTGTTTCCATATCTTGGCTATTGTGGATACTGCTGCTGTGAACAATATGATATATGTACACATCACATATGAAGGAATATTATTCAGTCAAAAAATAATGAAAAACTGGTTCATGCTACAGCTTAGATGAAACTTGAAAAATTATGCTGAGTGAAATAAATCAGATATGAAAGGGCAAATGTTGTATAATTCTACTTTTGTGAGGTGCCTAGAGTAGTCAAATTCATAGAGACAAAGGAGAACAGTGGTTGCTGAAGGCGGGGGTAGGGAGAAGGGATTTATTGTTTCGTGGATACAGAATTTCAGTTTTGCAAGATAAAAAAAGTTTTGGAAATGGATAGTGGTGGTGGTTTCACAACAATGTGAATTTGCTTGATGCCTATGAACTGTACACTAAATGGCTAAACAGGTACATTTTATTTTGAATTTTGCTATAGTCAAAAAAATAAGGGGAGAAAAAAGGAACAAAGAACTGATAAATCTTTAAAACATATCCTTAGTGAAAGAAGTCAGGCACAAAAAGTCACCTATTGTATGATTCCTTTTATATAATATATTCAGACTAGGCAAATCCAGAGAGACAAAAAGCAGAAGTTTCCAGGGGATGAGAGGAGTGGGAAATGAGGGATTGGTTAATGGATATGAAGTGTTTTTATGTGATGATAAAAAAAGATTTTGAAAGTAGGAAGAGCTTGTGATTACACAACACTGTGATATAGTAAACAGCATCAAATTATACACTTTTAAATTATTCATTTTATGTTATTAATATGTGAATTTTATGTCAGTAAAACACACAGGCATACACATTGCCAGTCAAGCAAAACACATATACTGTGTTTCTTTGGGACGTGTGGTATAGGCCTGAAATGATCCTTTGTGGTCTGCGGAAAAAATGTTTATTTAACCTTCTTAGTTAAAAGTAACTTATTTAAAATAGTATGTATGTATTATAGATTGTTTAAAATATTAAAAGCAAAATACAAGAAAACAAAAACACTGCATTCCTACCACTCACAGGTTGCTATTGTTAACATCTCCTGTTTCTTTCCGGAGTTTTCTCTGCCCTCTCTCTCTTCCCTCCTCCCCCCTCACCTCAAACACACACACACACACACACACACACACGTATTTTTTAACCAAAATGAAATTATGCTGTTTGTAGATTTGTTTTGTTTGGCTATAATCTTCCTCTCTCCATGTTGACATATTTTAACTTACCCAACACACACACACACACACACACACACACACATGTAGATTTGTTTTGTTTGGCTATAATCTTCCTCTCTCCATGTTGACACATTTTAACTTACCCAACACACACACACACACACACACACACACACACACGTAGATTTGTTTTGTTTGGCTATAATCTTCCTCTCTCCATGTTGACACATTTTAACTTACCCAACACACACACACACACACACACACACACACACACACGTATTTTTTAACCAAAATGAAATTATGCGTTTTGTTTGGCTATAATCTTCCTCTCTCCATGTTGACACATTTTAACTTACCCAGTAATTAAAATTTAAGTTCCTTCAATATTCCAAAGTTGTTTACAGTAGATTGATCCAAATTAGATTCCTTTTTAGGTCCATGTATTGCATTCATTAACTTATGTTCTTTAAATCCCTTTTTATCTAGTTTATACACACCTTTTTTATTATAGAGATTACTTGAGGAAACCCAGCCAGTTGTCTCTTTAATTTCATCTTTTAAAAATCTGTTTTATGTGCTTTTTAAGAACATAGGGTAATTATATATTAGGGTACCTGGTCAAAACTTTTTAGTGGTAAGGATGTAAGCATCACAAATGGTTAAAGACTGTAGAATATACAGATGTTTATTAAACTTATTTCAGTTTTTTATAGGTTTGAAGTTGTTTGAAATACAAAGAGAAAAAAATAATCATTAAAAGAGAAAAAAAGGTTTGGAAGGTTACTGTTCTAGTCTACTTTTTTTTCAAAGTGTGGTCTTGTTAATTAAGGAGCCCACTTAAATCTCCTGAATCAGACTTGGAGATGCAGCTGGGGAAATGGGCATTTCTAACAGTCTCTGTCGTGGTTTCAGTGCTCAGGGATGGAGAGAGATGATGCTCACCTTGTGTTTTGTGGTCATTTCCAGAATGGACACCCCTCATTTGTCTTTTGCATCAGCATTTATCAAGCATCCACTCTAGGCCAGACCCTATGCTGAGAACTGGGATTGTGAGCCATAGGGGCAGCTCTTTGGGCAGTTTTGCAGTTTGATACAGTGGCATCTGACAAGCTTTCTCTTCCTTGATGTTCCCCTGTCAGGACCATGAAGAAGCTGTGCTTGTGTTGTTAGAAGGAGCTGCCTGGGAAGAAGCTCTGAGACTGGTAAGAGGACATCGGAACTCTTCCCTGCCTGAAGTGCTAAGTAGAACGAGAGCCTGCTCAGGGGAGACAGTGTCAGCCGGGGTCCCTGGTCTTCTGAGGCTACTGAAGTCTGGAAGAAGTAGTTCAGGTTCTGGTCTAAGGATAAGCAGTGCTTTTTAAACCATTTAAATAATTTATTCTTGATGTGTGGAATTAGTCCTCTAAATGTGAAATGTTACTGTCTTTTACTGAAACGATTTGGGTTTTGTTTGGCTGCCTTGTAGGCCTTCTCCTCTGGAAAAGATCCTGGTCACGTCTGAAAGTGATCCATTCCCTAGCATCTTAACTTTCCAGTGACTTGAAGTTTTCCTGCCTAAAATTATCTTATTTTTCCTTTTAGGTACACAAATATAACAGACCAGATATTATAGAAACCAACATAAAGCCTTCCATTTTAGAAGGTGAGGGTTGTATTTTAGAAAGAATTCCTGATTTGGAAGTATCAAGATGGGGAGGAGAGGGAGACGGTAGAGTACTGTCTTTGCTGTTACATCCTTTAATCATGTCAGTGATGAAAGAACGCATTTTATTGAGTCATTCAGAGTTCTCCCCTGGGTGAGATAATTGAATTCTGACCTTGGTTTTTAAATGTGCTGTGTTAAATGGGCTTCCAGTGGTAAAGAATTTGCCTGCCAACACAGAAGACATGGGTTTGATCCTTGGGTCGCGAGGATTCCCGTAGAGAAGAAAAATGACAGCCCACTCCAGTGTTCTTGCCTGGGAAATCCCATGGATGGAGGAGCCTGGGAGGCTACAGTCCATGGAGCCACAAAGAGTTGGACAGACTTAGTGTCTAAACAGTAGCGACAGTGCTGTTAAATAGTCGCACATGAAATATTTGAATGTTAAAAACCTGTGCTTAAGATACAATTAAAAATTTTTGCATTGGGGAATAGTTGGTAAACTTGCATACGAACTATTGGATAATATCGTATCAAATGGTTGATTTTCTGCATTTAATAATTGTATTGTGAATATATACATATGATCCTGATTTTTAAGAGAGAGATGCTAAAGTATTTAGGAGGGAAGGATCATATCTGTAACTTCTTTTCAAAGGGTTCCACAAAAATAATTGTGTGTGACAGAGAGAGAGTGGAGAAACGGAGGAAGCCAAAAATCCAGAATAATGTTAATAATTGATAAATCTAAGTGAAGCGTGTGTGTGTGTGTGTGTGTGTGTGTATTCATTGAACTGTTGCAACTTTTATGTAGGGTTTGAACTTTCAAAATAAAAATTTTTTTTATAATGAAAAGAAGCGCTTTTCCTGTAGCCTTATGGTTAAGTTAGCTTCCAATTCTGGGGACACAGGTTCAGTCCCTTGTCGGGGAACTAAGATCCTGTATGCTGCACGGCAAATCCAAAAAAATAATAAAAATGAAAAGGACCTTTGCAGAAGGTTAATCGATAACAGATGAGTGTTAATCAGTTCTAGAATACTCTGGTGTACATTGTAACTCCTTAAATGCAGAGTGTAAGAGTGGGATGTCAGTTTGACGTACAGAACTCTTGGGGAGTAGAGGTTGATTTTAAGCCCTGCACAGTCTAACCTGTAAGGAATGTCTAGTCTTTCTGTCATTAACACGCATTCACATTCTTACTCTTTCTGCCCTCTGCTACCCTGTCCAGCTTAAAACTGGGAGAGCTCTCTGTGTATCATTCTCTTTGTGTACTCCTACCCGGATCCTGGAAGCATCCTCCTGGGCCCTGTAAAAGTGCTTCTGGCTCACTCTCACTTGAATTTTTCTCCACTAATGAGAACCTAGAAAAATGCTGACAGTTCATCAGCAAAGACCTAATACTTATAGGTTTAGGAAGCCTTTCGTGACTTTCCTCCTATTTTTGTTAATAGCTTCCTGTACACGCCTTTTATTTGCCAGTCCTCTCTTGGGTTAGATATTAAAGACTCTTACTCAGGTGATTTTACAAGTTTAGTGGTAGAGCATTTTCTAGGATGATGTTGATGAACTTTAAGATCTTGCATCTCAATCTCTAGTTCATTCTCCGAAAGCAGTGTTGGTTAATTCTCCATTAAATTTAAAGAAAAAAATCTTACTTGAGAAACTTGATAACTTGTTTTCTTTCCATTAAGCTCCGACTCCCTTGTTAACCCCTCCCTCTAGTTTTTTCTCTTTGCTTAGACATGCTTAAATTATTTTCCATCTGCACCCTCAGCCCAGAAAAATTATATGGTGTTTCTGGACTCTCAGACAGCCACATTCAGTCGGCACAAAAAACGTCTGTTGGTGGTACAAGAGCTGAAGGAGCAGGCCCAGCAGGTGAACCTGGGTGAGTGCCTGCCTGAAGACACTGAAGCTTGGGGCTGGTGGTGGGGGCAACATCACACTTCGTCTTACTAGCCGCTTACTGTGCCTCCTGCAATGTGGTTACCATGCCAAGTGCAAGTCTGAGGCCTCTGTGAAGGGCATGTGTGTGTCTTTGTCATGGGTACTGGGGAGAGTTTGAGGGCAGAATCAAGCATGAATGGGAAGAGGTCTACCAAACGTTCCCCCCTCACCCAGCCGGAGGAACCGACTGCAGTATTTACAGAACGAATCTTCTCATCTCCAAAAGTTCCTTTGCTTTAAGAAAAGAATACAGAAGTTTGGTAAAGTACTAGCTTACAGTAGTAAAATCGTATTTAATGTCTGTTGGTGACCAGTAGTTATTGCTACATTGACTTTAGTCTGTTGAGCACAGGAGAGCACCTCCTTTTTTTAATTGAAGAATAGTTGACGTACAGTGTTGAGCCAGTCTCGTGACTCAGTTGTACACTTTTGTGCCGTATTTTAGATCAGCTTTGTACTAGTTTTCATACATCATTAGAGGTGACCTGGATAACTATGGCTCACTTACCCCGCTGGAGCTGAACCTTATCTGGAGGGAGTTTTCAATTCTCTGTCTGGTTCTTCTCTTCTAGATGATGAAGCACCCCACGGTCAAGAGTCAGATCTCTTTTCTGAAACCAGCAGTGTCATGAGTGGCAGTAACATGAGCGGCAAATACTCTCATAGTAACTCTAGGATATCAGCGTATGTATCATGTTTATTCAGCACAGTGACCATTCCCTGGGTATGTGGAGAAAGTACAAGTGACCAGGTCAGTTTTCCACCAGGACAGTGCAGCAGGAGCGGGAGGGCATTCCTCAGCGCCCTGCGGAAGTTGTATAAGGACCTTCCCAGCATATCTAAGAGATTACACTTGACTTCAGATGTTTTCTGCTGCAGCTTCGTGGCCTATGTGTTTGCCCATTTCTAATGTGGCACTTACACTGGGTACTCAGTTTATATTTAACCTCTGATTTTATTCATTTAACAAATACTCGGTTCAGTGCAGTCGCTCAGTCGTGTCCGACTCTTTGTGACCCCATGAATTGCAGCACACCAGGCCTCCCTGTCCATCACCAACTCCCAGAGTCCACCCAAACCCATGGCCATTGAGTTGGTGATGCCATCCAACCATCTCATCCTCTGTCGTCCCCTTCTCCTGCCCTCAATCTTTCCCAGCATCAGTGTCTTTTCAAATGAGTGAGTTCTTCGCATCAGGTGGCCAAAGTATTGGAGTTTCAGCTTCAACATCAGTCCTTCCAATGAACACCCAGGACTGATCTCCCCTAGGATGGACTGGTTGGATCTCCTTGCAGTCCAAGGGACTCTCAAGAGTCTTCTCCAACACCACAGTTCAAAAGCATCAATTCTTCTGTGCTCACCTTTCTTTATAGTCCAACTTTTACATCCATACGTTAACAAATATTAAGTGACTATATGTAATGTGTAGGCACTGAAAAACTAGAAAGATTATAAAGAAAGGCGAGTTCACACTTCTTCAAAGTTCAGTTGATCAGAAGTATCTGAGCTAGTTGTAGTGGATATTACAGAAACCTTTTAAGGAGATGTGAATTAATAAGAATTTACTTGGGAAGAATTAAGAATTAATAGACTTACTTGGGAAACAGAAAACAATGCATGATGATATATTTAAACCAAATGGCGTTTTAGGAATTTAGAGTGGACATCTGTGAGATTGTGTGGGACAATCAGAAACTGCAAGAAAGTCACCTAGACGGGGGCTTTTGGGAGTTGGGGTGAGGGTCCCAGATGAAACAAATGGCATAGTTAAAGACCTCTGAGGCGGGAAAGAGTGTGGGTTCATTTATATATTTTATGATATGCAAATTCCAATCTGATATGTCTGTCTTCTTACTTTAATTTTGTTGCCTTTAAATTTATTTGGTTTTTACTACAAAATTGAAGCTGGTTGTTCTTCTCATTGTTCCAGCTCTGATTATCAGATGGAATCTCATTTTATTCTGTATCTTAATCAAACCTTCAAGGCCAGGCATCACTTTTTAGGGCTTTCCTTATTATTTTCTGCCTTTTCTCTACCAGTTGAATTTTATGTATCATTTTAACACCTTCACCATTTTCCCCAAAATACCAGCACCATTGGTATATACCCTGGTTTCCCAAACAGTTGGTGACCGTAGTTACTGCTACATTCATTTTAATCTGCTGAGCACAAGGAGAGCCCTCTTTCTTTATTGAAGGGTAATTGATTTACAGTGTTGTGACAATCTCAGTGGTACAGCAGAGTGATTCAGTTATACACATGTATACGTTCTTTGTTTATGTTTTCCTCCATTATGGTTTATCACAGGATATCGAATATAGTTCCCGGTGCTATCCAGTAGGATCTTGTTTATCCATTCTAAACGTAATACTTTGCATCTGCCCACCCCAAACTCACAGTCCATCCATCTCCCTCTCCTTCTCCTCCCCTTGGCACCCACAAGTCTGTCTCTACGTCTGTGAGTCTGTTTCTTGGATAGGTTCATTTGTGCTGTGTTTTAGATTCCGTGTATAAATGATATCGTATTTCTCTCTCTTTCTGACTTACTTCACTTAATTTCATAATCTTAGTTGCATCCATTATCCCGCACATGGCGCTGTTTCATTCTTTTCATGTCTGAGTGGTGTTCCGTTGTGTGTATGTACCACACCTTCTTTATCAAGTCATCTGTCAGTGGATATTTAGTTTCTTTCCATGTCTTGGGGCTGTTGTGAATAGTGCTGCTGTGAACATAGGGGTGCATATGTCCTCTTAGATTAGAGTTTTCTCCAGGTATATGCCCAGGAGTGGGATTGCTGGATGATATTGTAATCCTCTTTTAGTTTTCTGAGGAACCTCCATACTGTTTTCCATAGTGGCTGTACAGACTCATTCCCACCAACAGTATAGGAGGGTTCCCCTTTCTGCACACCCTCTTCAGCATTTGTTATTTGTAGACTTATTAATGATGACCATTTTGACTGGTGTCAGGTGGTACCTCACTGTAGTTTTGATTTGCATTTCTGTAATAATTAGTGATGTTGAGCATCTTTTCACATGCCTGGTGGCCATTTATCTGTTTTTTGTTTTTTTTTTTTTTTTTGGAGAAATGTAAAGATTTTTAGCCCATTTTTTGATCGGGTTGTTTGTTTTTTGTTGTTGAGTTGTAAGAGCTGTTGGTGTATTTTGGAAATTAAGCCCTTGTCTACTGCATCATATGCAGATTTTTTTCTCCCATTCTGTAGATCGTTTTCATTTTTGTTTTTTATTGTTTCCTTTGCTGTGCAAAAGCTTGTAAGTTTGCTTATTTTTGTTTTTATTTCTATTGCCTTGGGAGACTGACCTAAGAAAGTGTTGGTACAATTTACGTCATAGAATGTTTTGCCTGTGCTCTCTTCTGGGAGTTTTCTGGTGTCATGTCTTAATTATGTTTAGGTCTTTAAGCCATTTTGAGGTTATTTCTGTGTACAGTGAGAAGGTATGTTTTAACTGCATCTGTTTCCATGTGGCTGTCCAGCTTTTCCAGCACCAGTTGCTGAAGAGACTCTTTCCCATTTTATACTCCTGACTCCCACAGGAGACTGACTGGTGGCAGGCGTGTCGGTGCATCTCTCAGCTCTCGCTTCTGCTCCATTGAGCCGCATGTCTGTTCTGTGCCAGTGCCGTGCTGTTTTGATTCCTGTAACTCTGTAGTATGTCTGAAGTCTGGGAAGGCTGTGCCTCCTGCTTTGTTCTTTTTCTTCAGAATTGCTTTAGTGGTTCTGGGTCACCTATGGTTCCATAGAATTAGGGGATTATTTGTTCTAGTTCTGTGAAAACTGTCATGGGTCATTTGATAGGGATTGCATTACATCAGATTGCTTTGAGTAATACGGCCATTTTAACAATGTTAATTCTTGAAGTCCAAGAACATGGGATGTCTTTCCATATCTTTGAATCATCTTCAGTTTCCTTTCTTAATCTTTTATAGTTCTCAGTGTATGAGTCTTTCATCTTAATCAGGTTTATTCATAAGTATTTTGTTTTGGGGACTGCGATTTTGAAAAGTATTGTTTTTTTTACATTCCCTTTCTGATATTTCATTGCTATTATAAAGAAATGCAACCAATTCCTGATGTCATTCTTTTATCTTGCTACTTTGCTGAATTAATTTATCAGATCTAGAAGTTTTTATGTGGAGTCCTTAGGGTTTTCCAAATATAGTATCATGTCATCCCTATCTAATGACAGTTCCTAATGACCTGTCATTTCTTTTTCTCTTCTGATTGCTGTGGCTAGGACTTCCAGTATTGCATTGAAGAGAAGTGCTGGGAGTGGGCATCCTTGTCTTGTTCCAGATTTTAATGGGAACGGCTTAAGGAGAGCCCCTTTTAAAACATCTGTAATTTCTAATAGGCGATCATCTAAGAATCGGCGCAAAGCGGAGCGGAAGAAGCACAGCCTCAAGGAGGGGAGCCCTCTGGAGGATGTGGCCCTTTTGGAGGCATTGAGCGAAGTGGTGCAGGGGACTGAAAACCTGAGAGGTACATTCTCAGTACCGATGATTCTTGCCCACATAAAAACCGTAGTAAATACATCACTTCAGGGCACATTCCTGAAACAAAACTTCTCAGCTGGTAGCCCAGAGGCCTTTCTCATTGGCATTCACCTACCCAAGATGTGAAGGACAATCACTGAAGTCAAAAAGTTTACCCAAGACCACACAGGGCCTAAACTGTTAAGCAGGTCTGCTCTGGGATGAAAATAAACGTTAAAATCCAGTCCATCCCCCTCACTTGCTACATCGTGGACTTGGGAATAAGTAGTATTGGTCTGGAGAAAGACGTCTGTCTTTTATTCTAGCTTTGGAGGAGAAAGAAGAAAATATGGAAGATACTGTGTGATATTAGATATTTTTTGCTTGGGAAAGATTCTCTGTTAGGATTCTAGCAATGAATCTGGTATTACAACTTAACCACTCTCTCAAATTTCTTCTCTCTAGATGAAATATGCCGTATTTTAAAGATGCTCTTTCTCTTTGAGTTTGATGAGCAAGGAAGGGAATTACAGAAGGCCTTTGAAGATACTCTGCAGTTAATGGAAAGGTCGCTTCCGGAAATTTGGACTCTCACCCCCCAGCAGAGTTCAGCTACACTTGTAAGTTTTCCTAAAAAACTGAATGTGCTTTTCTCGTTAAAATCACTTTCACAGATTATTACTCTCATAGTGTCTCAACAGTCAAAGCAAAAAATTTTCCTTTTCTTGAAACATACTATACCACAGTTAAATTATCTTAGCAAGCTGTTGGTAAGAAGATTTTGTGACTGACCATGTAGTTCATAGTATACCCTGGCCTAGGTTAAGTTTGCTTTTAGTTCTCTTTTCCACATGAAGCCACTGTCATGGAGAAGATGGGAGTCAGACGGTTGTCCCTGACCTTCAGTGAAATTGTTAAGGGTCGACCAGAATTGGCCCCTCACCTCTGTGTTCACACTTACAGATGGGATCTGATTTCTTTAAAGGAAGCACAGATAATTGCAGTAAATTTGACTTGTCACTCCTATGTTGTTATGACATGATTACTAATTATGTTAAAGCTGTTTGTGTCCCATCAAAAATTCTGATCTTTTGTCATCTGTTTATTGTTTATATCTGCACAGTCTCTTACACCTCAGGTCTGTTGCTCAGCGTTTTGATTTTGATTCTGAAAGGCTGGTCTGTCCGTCAGGGTCCATTAAGGACAACGGAAACCACAGCTAATATTTTATCAGAGAGATTTTAATAAATGGAACTGGTTAACCAAGTTGTAGAGGACCAAAAAGGCAGAGGGGGAACACAGAGAAGGAACGCTGAGACAGTAAGTGTGGGCAGCTTAGACCCCCTAGGACCGAAAGAACAAAAGGGAGAGTTTGAGAGTTAGAATTTAGACGCTTGGGGCTGGGCCTTGCAGAGCTGGTTCTTGAAGCTCCGTGAAGCAGGGGCAGCCACCTGGTGCTGGTGTTTCTGCGGGGACAGATGAGGCTGGTTCAGTGTATGGAAATAAATGGCAACTGGAGTGAGCAGATGCTGCGGGCTGAAGAGCCACGGTTAAGTGAAAGCAAAGCATGCAAACGAAGCAGCAGATCACGTCTCTGTCCTCCGTCCAGCCTTGTTTGTCCCTCTGTTGGCTGCTCTTGTTGGAGAATACAGCCATCAGGGGAGGGGTGTTTTCTCAGACCAGCCCCAGCATCACAAGCAGTGCATAGAAGGGTGCTTTTGGAGCTGAGACAGAGGCCGAAGTCAGCTCATAGGCTTATGAAATATATAAGCTTACTGGGTCTTGATTTCCTCAGTTATAAATGAGAATAATATTCTCTGGTATATTTCACTGAATGTTCTGAAGGTTCGATGACAAGGTAGATATCAAAGCATTCAAAAGAAAAAACTATAAAGGCAGCTAAGAATTAGCCTCCCATAAACACTTGAACTTATACTATAATAGGTATTTCCTAGAAGAAATGTGATCACCTTCAAAACTTGTGATTTCGAAGCTAACAATTTATAATGCCTCCCCAGGCCCTCCCTCATTCTCATCTATTCAGATCATATTAACGCCTAAGATACCAGCTTAGGAGTCTTTTAGGGGAAGTGACAGGGAAATTGTGTTTTTGCTCTGGTTGGTAAAGCACGGTAATATCATGTGTATAGGAGACCATGGGTCACGGGGCAGTGCTTTGAGCATGTGGCATCACTGCTGGGCGTGCGCCAGGAGGAGACGGGCACAGAGCTGAGTGCAGGTGGGGCAGAGGGCCTGGCATGTGCCCACTGAGCCTCCTGCAGGCGTGGGATTGCTATGAAGTCTCTTGTTCACCTTGAACACACGTGGAGTTTGCATTCTCCTCCATTTTGTGCACATATTATTTTAATGTAAAAATTCCCACAAATCTTTGAGTATAGTCTGATGCTCTGTGTATTCTATAATCTATTATTGTACCCCCTCCCCCCAAGGTTTGGCTCACTCATTTGGAAAGGACCAGGCGTTTATTACTGAGCTTTTCCTTTTCTGCTTTCCCCCCATCATTACCTTCTGGTAGACAGGAGATATCAAGGTCTGAATGGAGATGGGAGAAACTGTCAAATTAAAATCACATATGCCATAATGAAAATGCAAGGCTACTTATTGCTGGTAGATCTGGTATTTGCAGTCATCAGAAGTATATAATAATCTTTGCTGATTCAGTCTACTTTCTACTTAGGTTCTAGGTCCCAATTCTACTGCAAATAGTATCATGGCCTCTTACCAACAAGAGACGACATCAGTTCCTGTTCTTGGTTAGTATTTTTCTCTCTAAATTATCATAGTACTAAACAGAAGAAATATCTTTTTGTAAGCGTTGAGGTTAGTAGTATAAGGAGAAATTGGGGAGTCACTGCAATTTTTCATCTGTTCTGAGACTATCTTTAGTGAAATTAGTTTAATGCCTTTAGTGTTTGGAATCTGGGTTGGGGGATGAGAGATCCAGTATGACATTAAATGTATAATTTTTAAAAAACTTGTTCTGACATGCGCACTTGTCAATGCAGTGACATTTATGCATCCATACAGGCACATTACAGTTGAAGTTTGCGTCTAAACAGTCCAATTTGCACTTACATTTTAAGAATTCTTCTGAATCATCATTTTTGGCTCTTGACAGTTTTGCACTGTGTCTTGGGAACATTTTCACATCTCTTGCTTAAGAGCTGGACCTTTTTAGTTATCCTTAGGATTGATAGTATAATTTAAAAACAGATCCAAAGAAGATTATCATTTCATCTGCATTTCGTATTGAATTATACCTAAAATGTTTCTGTTTATTTTTTGGGGTGGGGGGAAGTGATTCTCATCAGTTAGGTTACATATTCCTCAAAGTTAAAAACCCTAAAGGCTTTCTTTTCAAAGTTGGAAGTTGGTTAAAAAAACTTTTGACAGATCAGTTTGGTGCCAAAGTATTTGCCCTTCATGCGGATCATTCCAGCATAGTAACTTCTCTTCAGCTTTGAAAAGTTGGCAGTTACTGTAGCTGCTGTTTGTGTTTCTGGCATGTGAAAGCGTTCTCAAAGTTTTTCATTTAAATGCTATATTGTGTTAGCATTTTGGTGACATTTGAAGTAGGCTTTGTGAGAGGCACGTCAAGTTTAACTTTAATGGTACATTTTGCTACCAGGAATATACTAATCACCTGCCATTCCAGCTAAGCTCATACATCCAGACAGTTAACTGCTGTATCCCTAGGTTCCCTTATTCCTGGAGGCTGGCAGACTGCTTTTGGTGTCAGTCCCAAAACACACACTTATTTCTGAGATGCTCACAGTTCATCTCAGACTAGAGGCCGTTTGGTAATTGTTTAGTTTGTGGTGTCTAATCCAGTTGTGGTTTCTTTCCCCTTGCTTCTTTTCACTGCTGGCTTGATGCTGGCCTTCAGGTCCAGTCCAGTCACACACCTTTCCCTAGGGTGGTCTAGTTGGCTTTCTCAAAGAGCACTTTCATTTCCCAGCTGAGCCTTACAGACTTTTAAAGTTTTGAGGCTGCTCATTATCAGCAGCCTCCAAATTTGTATTATGTATTATCAGCTCATTATGTGTATTATTTGTGTCCCTGTGTAGGAACACTAGTGTAGACTGTGTAGGAAAGGAGAAGTTCTCATAACCCAAAAAGGGGCAGAATTGGTGCCGCTCAGATATTCCTCTCCTGCCCCTCCCCAGCTAACAGTATAGAGGAGCAGTGACCTGGAGGGCGTTTTCCGATTGCTTCATGTTCACCATACGACATAGCACCACACAAGTTGATTCCAGGTCTTGCAAAAATGGAATCCGTTTCATAAAATGGATTCATGTTTTACCAGAGTAGTGCTTAAATCATAGACCAGTTGGACTTGTTACAGTTGATAGCAAAATTGCGTAGACTATCAAAGGATAAAGAGAAGTCCTTGGAAAAATTGATAAAAGTCCTCAAAGTACTTTCATGAAATGACTTTCTTTGTGCTATGAAATTCAGACATGGAAATGTGAAAGATGTCATGTCTTGCTGTCACACAGTCTGTCAGAATAGTTTCTTTCCTGCCAATAAGTCAATACGTGGTATTTATACTAAGAAAGAACATCTTTACATATTTTCTCATGTCTCTACTGTTTATTATTGCTACTTAAATAACTCCATAAATGTAGCTGAAAGAGGGCCTGGAAGTTTTATCTGCCAAATTTTCTCCAACTATCACCTGCCTCTTCTAGTTATTTTTTAAGCAAGGACATTTTTATTGACCACTGTCTTTGTAAAAATTATCATAAAGTCTTTTCTGTCCGTTAGCTTTACTTACTGAATACATGCCACCAGTTCTTTACTCTTAAAAATGAGGTAAATTTTCCATACAGTGAAATGTACAGATCTTTTAAGTGTATAGTTTGAAGAAATTGAATACATGTATACAGCCTTCTCACCACTACAACCACCACCCTCTCCCATTTGAAATACAAAATATTCTTTCACTTTGAATCAGTTAGTGGGCATTGTTTTTCTTCAACCCTCTCACCTGCCTGAAGCTGAAGTGGAATATTCCTTTTCTTGGAGCAGGGCCTCTAGGCTGTGTTTGCTCTGACCAGGAAGTTGTTAGGGTAACACGAACATTAACTCTGCTTCTAAAGCTCATCTTATAGGTGCAAAGCCCAGTCACCTCGTTGTAGCTTAGAGTGATTGCCTCAGCTCCCACCAGCAGGAGAGAGTGTGTCTGTTACAATTTCTCTTTCCTTATCTTTAGATGCGGAGCTTTTGATACCACCAAAGATCAACAGAAGAACCCAGTGGAAACTGAGCCTTCTAGATTGACTGTGACCTCAGCTAGGAGGCGCTGGCAGAGAAGGCTGTCTTCCTTCTACTCCTCACTCCTCGAGGCCTGGCTTTGGGAACTGGGAAGAGAAGACCATCTACCTTAGCGTTGGGGAGAGCTGCTCTGTACAGCGGACCTCGGCAGACACAAATTCTGTTTTATTTTATTTTGCATGTAATTATAATCATTAGCAAGACTTTAAGCTTCAACCATTAGAGCATCATTTTGTAAAAGTTATTGTTCTTTTACTTAGTGCTGGTTGAGAGCATATTTCTGGTATTTATGGTAATCAGGACATTGGGTTTGATTCCCAGCTATGGGTCTGAATCATATTGGGACCATAGACAAATCATAAAACTGATTTGTGCCTCAGTTAATTGGGAATAATGTTTCGTGGCTTCTATCTCAAGTGTGAAGAAAAGTAAAATAATGTTTTTAAATTGTTTTATGTTCCTTGAGGAAAGCATTATGTATAAACAACATGGCTGTTAGTGGTCTCAACATTTGGTCAAATTCAATCATTTAAATGATTTCTTCACCTTGAGCTAAAGCAGAATGAAAATTGAAATCTATTCTTTAATGTTCTGAGCTTTCCTATGCTGACAGTAATATCTTACCAGGTCATGTGCTTCCAGTTACAACCAGATTGAGCCTCCTGTCACTACAATGCCCATAGGGACTGTTTTTACTGCCTGTGAATGTTCTGCTAGAATTAGCAGTGTCAGAACTGGAACAGTCTAGAATTTCTGGAACAGTATTGTGCACACTTGGGATGGTGAGCAGTGTGCATCAGATGGCATGCGCAGTAGTAAGTTACTCCTTTCCCTCCAAATGTTGCTTCTTTTAACATAGTGTTTTTGTCAGTGTCTAGGCCATTTCATTTATTTTTCTTTATGGTGCTTAACTGACCTCTGTCTTCTAGTTATTTTCTTTGGAAGAAATGGAAATGTTTTCCCTTTTCAGTGAGTCCAGAAAAAGCTTAATTCATTTTGACAACAGTTTTGTTGCTGAGTTCTTGGGTAAGGCTAACAATCTCTTTCATGCTTTTAATATCCGAACCAGACTTTTATTTCTCTATGTAAGCTAACAGTAAGTGCTGCTTTTGATCCTCAGAGTGTGGATATGCCCAGAATTGTGTAACCAAATAAGCCTTTCCCTAATATAGCTAAGTGTAAACTACAGAATCTAGGTGTGTTCACTGTATAATTCAGTTCTTTTGTGTCTGAAAATGTTCACAAAATAATAGAAAAAGAATGTTTGTAATTCAGTGCACAGCATCAAAAGGCTGAAAGTGCTTTGTGACTACTGTGTGGTGTGGATTACTGAACATGGTAATGTACGTGGCATTTTAATATAGTGCTCTTGCTGTGGATAATAGTAAAAGGGTCCAGGCTGATGGGTTGCCAGTGGAAGTGAACGTGTCTTGATAATGGTGGGACTTTGCATGGAAATTCACTTTCCTTAAAATAATGTATTCAAGCAGCAAAAAATAATTTATGTGAATACAAATAACTATCACTTTCATCTGAGCAAGATGGGATTTTATTCATTTGGAGAAGCAGCAGGTGGGAGCAGACCTTCCAAATTGAAGGGCAAGTCAAGGGGGAATTGATGCAGGGAAATGGCTGTGTATGGGCAAAGGAGAACCTCCTGGTAGAGATGAATGCTTAATTTGGGGGAAAGATTCTGTCAAGTTCTAGAGGAGAGTATATGATTCTTCCCCCCAGTTTGGGCTTTTCCCAAAGCAAATTCATGCTGCAGGAAGCTAAAAGCCTCCATTATTTTGTTGGTGCCACTGAATCAGCTTTGGTCAGATGCTCTGCACATTAAGAGGATTTGTGCAGAGGATTGTCTCTTATAATCAAAGTGCATTTTAATTTAGATTCTCAAAAAGAGCTGAGGCAAGAGGTTATTATGTTTTTATCAGTAGAGCTTGGTAAAATTTCTTAGCAGTGTGGCATATTTTAAAATAAATTTATTTTCCATATATATCTACATATATACACACATATTTGTGTATATAAATACATAAATGTACACATAAATATGTGTGTTTATACACACACGTGCACACATCTGAGGGACTCTCTTTAGCTCTAATTGAAGAGGATGTTGTTAAAAGTAAATAAAACTGACAGTGCTTAGTAATTGTAGGTGACTGTAAGTTTGGAAGGGCTTCCCTGATAGCTCAGTTGGTAAAGAATCCAGCTGCAATTCAGGAGACCCCGGTTTGATTCCTGGGTCGGGAAGATCTGCTGGAGAAGGGAAAGGCTACCCACTCGAGTATTCTGGCCTGGAGAATTCCATGGACTGTATAGTCCTTGGGGGTCTCAAAAAGTTGGACATAGCTGAGCGACTGTCACACACACAAGTTTGGAAAGCAAAATTAGCTTTCTTCGTCCTCCTGTGGCTGCCTGTAATCTGTGCTTCACTAGAGGTACCCCTTGGACAAGTCCTTGGGAGCCTTTGGTTGTCCTTCCTTGTCCGTCACATAGTAACTGGGGGAGGATGACCACCTTAGAAGCTAGGTCACCATAAATATCAGATCTGTACATGAGCCACGGTTAAGGCGATGATGTTCGGCGGCCCAGAGGCCTGTGCCCTCTGTGCTGCCGCGGCCTTACCTCTGCTTCACGCCTGCAGCAGGCTGTTCCTCCAGCCTGGAACTCTTCCTGGCTTTGAAGTCCCGGGAACTTCAAGACCAACAGATGTCCTCCTGGTATCTGGAAAGAACAAAGTCCACTCATCTTAGTGTCCTTGGACAAAGTCATTTAATCTCACTGAATCTTTTCTCCAACCTGTGTGTCCATTGGGCTAACCAGGGTTTCTCAGTCTTAGCATTGTTGATTTACTGTTCAGTCACCGACCCCATGGACTGCAGCATGCCAGGCTTCTCCGTCCTTCACCGTCTCCCAGAGTTTGCTCAGACTCCTGTCCATGGAGTCGAGGCCATCCAGCCCTCTTACCCTCTGCAGTCCCCTTCTCATCCTGCCCTCAATCTTTCCCAGCATCAGGGTCTTTACCAGTGAGACGGCTCTTCACATCAGGTGGCCAAAGTATTGGAGCTTCGGCTTCAGCGTCAGTCTTTCCAATGAATATTCAGGCTTGATTTCCTTTAGGATGGACTGGTTGGATCTCCTTGCTGTCTGTCCAAGGGACTCTCAAGAGCACTGTTGATATTTTGGGTTACATCATGCTTTGTTGTAGGGGGCTACCCTGTGCATTATAGAATATTGAGCAATAGCCCTGGCCTCTACCCATCAGATGCCAGTATGACATGCCCCCCCTCCTGTTATGATAACCACAAATATCTCTAGACATTACCAAATGTCTCTCGGGGGTCAAAACTGTTCCAGTTGGGAACCAATGGGCTAAGATGGCTTCCAAATACTTACAGAAAATTTTACATCTTTTTTTCTGTTAGGAAGATGCTTTTTTTCTGCAAGGACTATTTATATGGAACAAGTGAGAGAATTCATAAAAGTGCTTTGAAAAGAGATTATATAGTTATTCAGCCTTATATTGGTATTTTTCATTTTAAAATGCAGTATGGCATTTAGTCCTAGGAGGGCCTAGGAGTTCCCATTCTCTAGAATCATTTCCCAGGCCTCCACTTCATCAAGACCCTCTTCACCTTTTGGGGGTTCTTGACTGGGGGTTCATAGACCCTTAAGGAATCTGAAGATAGTGTATTTCTATTATCCTACATATTTTATTTGATGTGTTTAAAGAATATTATTCTGAGGGGTCCGTAGGCTTTAACGACCCTGTTAGAGAAGTCCAAAGGTTAAGGGTTAACCAGACTTCAACCTTCCCGTCAATGAATGTTCTTCGAGTGTTGACAGCAGTGGTTTGGGCAGAAACAGGTACATGAGGCAGACCTCTCTTGAGTCAGTGTACCCAACTCCTATCCTCCTGGTCCTCCAGGGTAAGGCGTCCCCTTGCTGACTAAGCCCTTCTGTGGCTATTTTTGCTTCTCTACTAGCTTGCTTGTGCCAGCCATCTGTGCTACTCACCAAGACTCCAGGGTGAGGAATTTGCATCTTTCAAGGCTGTCTGTTGGCAAACCTCGAGGTTTTAAGTGTGGCTCCGTAGGGCTTCTCCCTGAGCCTGGTAGAGATGCAGTAGCTCTCCTGTGCATGCTTGAATGTGTTTGCCTTTGGGTGTATGTGTGGCTCAGGATCCTAGTAAGGCATTTGGGTGCCTGTATTTAAGCGGTAGAAATCTACAAGATAATGCTATCTAACAATTCTTATGATCACCTCCTGAAGACCACACACTAGTTTTCAGATGTTTATCTCTGATGGTTTTTTCAAAGCTAAACTTTATTTTTGTTGTTTTATATCTCATATTTAGTCAGCTGTGTGAGGTAGGCATTTGAATTCAATTTTATAGGTGAATAGACTCAGGTCACGGGCTTCCTGGTAGCTCAGTGGTAAAGAATCTACCTGCCAATGCAGGAGTCATGGGTTTGACCCCTGGGTCAGGAAGATCTGGAGAAGCACATAGCCATTCTCTCCAGTATTCTTCCCTGGAAAATTCCATGGACAGAGGAGTCGGGTGAGCTGCAGTCTGTGGGGTCGAAAAGGAGTTGGACACAACTTGGTGACTAAGCAAGACTTAGGTCACAGAGCCAGTTGGCAGCAAAGCAGTTTCAGTCCACAGAGTCCAAAGCCCATGTTCTTTCTGCTATTTTACACTGCCTGCCAGTGTTGGAGACAGGGCAGAGAATATGCTGGGGACGGCTCTAAAATATCAAACTTCGATTATAAACTGCCTGCAGGAATACCCCAGACCATGCTGGGCCCTGGAAGGGCTTCCAGGCCATGAGGGTTTTTATGTTCCTTTGGTTCCTCAGTTGGGTTAGAGTGACTAGAATGGAACAGCCTCCCACAAACCTATGTCAAACTCCTTGTATACCCTGTGGTTTGATGGAGAATCCAGTCATGTCAAAGATGAGCAGCTGCTGTTTGAAGTGTCTGGAGAATGGCTGTGGGTTGCATCCTCATGACCTTAGTGCTGATAAACCGAGATTAAATCTTCCCCCAGTTTTTAAAGGGGGAAATCTATGTAGCACCTATTCCCCGAAGAGTTTTTCCTTTAAGATAACACATACCTTGCTCATAACGCATGGGTTTCAGCAGCTAGTCACCATGATGGCTTGGTAAGAACTGATATTGAGACGTTATACATGACTATTGGGACTAGAAGAAAGTACGATCAAAGCAGGTGTCAGACATCTTCATCAGCTCTTCCGATCCTTCAGAGTTGCTGATCAAGTGTGAAATGTGCTCTGCTCCTTTGTGGGAGATTGAACCATTGCTGCATACTTCCTGTTGCTGTTTATTGAAAGGGATATTCTCACATGCCATGACAGCATTTACTCTATTAAATCTATCACACTCCCAGAGTCTAACAATACTATAGTACCTTATGTGGGGAATGTACAAAATAAGGGACAGAGTAATTGTAGAGATAGTTTCTCCCCCAAATACTTCAGCAATCAACATAATGCATGTCTTTCTGGTCCATGATCCTTCCTTCCTTCCCTCCCGCCCCACCCCCACTGCCCCTCTCCTTCATCCAGCCCCCGCCATCGTTTGGGCAAATGCATATTCTAAGGCAAATGCTTCATGTATGAAGTTCTCAATGCATAAGGAAAGAGAAACACTGTGGAAGGAAACATGAGGATTGTTTATTACTACAGACGTGAACGGGCCGACTCTGCTCTCTGTGTGTGAGATGGGTGCTCATCCAGCAAAGCCGATGCATGGCACAGCCACCATGCTTCCTTGGAGTTCAGAAGCACCTTCTATAGAGGAAGAAGGGCCCATGCTCCTCATACTCAGAGCGGTGGACCCACAGCGGTTGGAAGCCCTGAAGCGATGCCAGGATGGAGCCCCCCGTCCACACTGCCGTGTCTCTTTCGGGCAACACGTTTACCTGGGGGGTGTCATTGGGACACATGCTGCTCAGTTCCTTCTGCAGACGGTTAGGGAAACCGCTGAGCATAGTGCTCCCCCCGCAGAGCAGGATATTCCCCATAAGGTCTCGTTTGAGGGCGATGTCACACTTGTTGAGGCAGGATACCGTCTGGGTGTGGAGGCCCAGCTGCATGGACTTGATCAGAGAAGGCTTGAAGAACATCTCCGAGCAGAGGAACCTTTCCTGGCACAGGTAGATCGCCTGCCCATCTGGCAGGGTGTACTGGATCATATGCTCAGTAGCTGGGACTTTCTTCTCTTCAATGGGGTCCAGGGCCACAAAGCAGCATTTCTTCTTGATGTCCTCCACGATGCCCAGCTGGCCCTCGGTGAAGTGTTTCCCTGCAGCGTTCATCAGCCCCATCAAGTAGGTTGTCAGGTCAGAGCCCGCGTAGTCCAGCCGTCCGGTGATGCTGGGCAGAGGGTAGCCCTCGTAGATGGGAACTACGTAGGACACGCTGTGGCCGACCTCCACCACCAGGCCAGAGGTCCTGCCGTAGGAGTACATGGACAGGCGGGACTGGTAGGCGATGTGCATCGCGGGAGTTTTGAAGGCCTCAAACAGCATTTCAGCATACTTCTCCCTGTTGGTGTGTGGGCTCAGGGGTGGATCTGAAACCAAGACCGCGTGCTCCTCTGGGGCAATCTTCATTTCTTGATGGAAGAGATATTCCCAGATATCCTGCACTGTATCCCAGTCCACGATGATGCCGTGTCGCAGAGGGTTAATCAGCTTGAGACGAACCTCTGGGTTGATAAGCTCGTGCCCCACGAATGTCTCCTTGCGATTGTCGCCGGTTTTGGCGGTCTCCATGTAGGGTTTGCCCACTGTGGTTGAGATCCTGTGGGTGGGCTTTGGCAGCCCGGCAAAGCCACATTTACAGTAGCCTGTGCCAAGGTCCACGACCACTGCTTTGGTCAGCTCTAGCTTGGGCTTCTTGACCTCAGGTGATGTCGTAGGTTCAGGCTCTGAATGGTTACGGCGCACCCACACTGCCCGCTTGGCTGGGCCATCCTTCAGGGAGGCGGTCTGGAGGACCTGTGTCTGCGGGCAGGCCTGCTCACCTATTCTCTCGGAAGGCCCATCCCCTATGACTGCCGCCTGTGGAGCCCACACACTCTCAAGAGCCATCTTGCTCTCAGAAAGTTCCTCAATCCCCCCGGCCTCAAGGCCTGAAAGGCTGAAATAAGAGGGCAACTTGAGAATTTCTCCAGTGGTGACATCACTGATTATGACATAATCGAGTGTCCCAGGGCTTTCTAGTTACTGGGAAACTTTGTCTTGTGTTAGGGTATATTTGAGATAGTGTTTTTGAAGTGATTTACTTTTTTCTAAATTTTGTAGTAAACCTGGCTTATCCAATCAGTATTTCTTGAGTGCTTGCTGTCTGCAACGCAGGCAGCAGTGAGGAAAAAAAAGGACAAAAATCTCTGCCCTCATAGAACTTACATTCTAGTCAGTGGGAGTTGGTGGGGGAGACAGACAATAACCAAAATAAATATATGGGGTGTGTGTGTTAGTCACTCAGTCGTGTCCGACTCTGCGACCCCATGGATTTAGCCCTTCAGGCTCCTCTGCCCATGGAATTCTCCAGGCAAGAATATTGGAGTTGGTTGCCATTTCCTCCTCCAAAGGATGTTCAAGGATCCAACCTGAGTCTCTTGCATTGCAGGCAGATTCTCTCATCAGGCTTCACAGGCCATTGCTAGGACTTCGGCTCTAACTCTGCATGAGTTTGGAAAGCACTAGAGAATTTTGAGCAAAGACTTGATACCATCTGATTTAGGACCAATTGCTGCTTTGGCAACTCTGCCAAGCACTTACAAAAGGTAACATATTCAGATTCCAGGGACTCAGATGTGGACATCTTTGGGGGGGGCATCAGTCACCCTGTGCCACTTGACCTGTGCATCACACTTCACTAAGACACTCAAAGCCTGGCATGCTGTTTTACAAGCTCCTCCCCCATTGCCCATGCTTGCTGTCCTTAGCCCTTTGCGTCATCAGTTGAATTGAAGCCCTTACCTCTTGCATTTGAGGTCCC